ATTTGATTCGCGTCCGGAACCGACGCTGCGAGAGGAGCAGGACGAATCAGAGGAGACGGTACACGATGAGGAAGGGTGAGGAGAGAGGGGACCTTGCCAGGCCAGGTGCGCGCGCGCCACACCTGTCATCCGATCCCTCCCTCCCAGACGTTTCCACTGCGCGGCTGTTCTCCCTATCCGCGGACGCGTGTCATGGTTGACATGGAGCTCCAACAAGAGGAGAGAACGGGGAGGGGGAGGGGGGAGAGAAATATGGGGGAAACGAGGAGGGCGGAGAGGAGGAGAGGGAGGGAGGAGGGGATGTGACAGAGGAGGGGGATGGCGGAGGGTAGGGCGGACGGCGGGAGGATGGAGGGGGAGAGGGCGAGAACCAGAATAGAAGGAGGAGGGGGAGGAGACAAGGGGGAAGAGGAGAGAAACTGGGGGAAAAAAGGATGAAGAAACGGAAGGGAGGGTGATAGGAGAAGGGAATAGTAAGAAAGAGGAGTAGCATGAGGATACGACAGGAGGAGAGGCAGGGAAATCACATATGGAGGGAGGGAGAAGACAGGGAAGCTGGGGGAGAATAGACAAAGGCAAAACGACGAGACGGTCTAGGTGAGCATGCTTGAAAACTTCCTCAACGCTAGAGCTCCTCGACTGGTCGCTGCGCCAGACAAATTCCAAATGCCATTTGACACTGGTCTAGATCAGGATTCGAATGAAGCCCCTGATACATAGGATACACCAGCAATCTCCTGCAAATCCATACAGCAAGCTATCACGCACACGATATGCATATGAGGACAATGCCCAATAAAGTAGGTACACACCACTGAACATCCCGAACTGCGTGAGATACCACGGACATGACAACGACATGAGCCATTTCGGCATCCGTGAATATAACGAGACTAGAAGACATCTGGCAAACAAACCCTCTCTGCCGGTCCTCCTTCTTGCTCGATTCGTCCTCCTCCGACTCCACCGCTGCATCTTCCTCCTCGTTCTCCTCCACCAAGTCCCCTTCCCTCTCCACCTGCTCTGCTGCAGAGGCTGTGGCTTCCTCAGCAGACGTCTCCAGCATTCTGGCCAACTGCTCTCGCAGTTTAGCAGCTGCCCTATGCAACTCCTCCACCTGCGGCAGAGGAGAGATGGAGGAAAGGGGCGGGGGGGGGGAATCGGAGAGGGGAGTCAGTAGGATGAAGAAAACGGGAAGATCATGCGCATAACTCTATTACACTGCGTCCGCAGAGACGTTCAAGAAACAGAGAACCGACACTCGCAGACTCTCCAACATCATCGCGTACTGTTCTTGGCCGAACGAACTCTGCGTGACGCAATTGCTCTCAGGACTGGGCTCTACCCGAATTCGCCGACCCCTTTGGGGCACTGGCGAGCGAGACGTCTGCTGGTCCACTCTCCGCAAGCTGAAGTCGTTGGCTCGAAGGGGTGCCGACACAGCTCTGGGAGGCCAAGATGCCACCAGAGGGCTCCAGGGCGTCGCCAAGATCGTGCGAGGAACCCCCAAGAAACCGCAGGCGGACACAAGGAGCCCCAAGAGGCCCGAGAGCAGCCCCGACAAGCCCCAATGAGCGCACGATGAGCTGTAAGATCGGACAAAGACCAAAACAGTGTCTGCACTTAGGAATTCTCGCTTCGGTTACCAAGTAAATTGTATGGGTCCGGCGACGTTTTGCCAAGTTGCCGCCAGTGGCTGCTTCGTTACCGCTTCGTGCGCTGGGGAGTTTCACCGAGGTTTTGCGACGCTGCCGCCAGTTGCCTCCTCGTTGCCGCCTCGCGTGCCGGGTGGGTCCGGCGACCTTTCGCCACGCCGCCGCCCGTTGCAGCCTCGTGCGTTGGGTGGGCCCGCCAGCATTTCGCCACGTTGCCGCCTTTTGCCGCCTGGTTGCTGCCTCATGGCCGCCTGGTGTGCTGGCTGGGTCTGGCGAGATTCCGCCACGTTGCCGCCCATTGCCGACTGATTGTTTCGTTGCCGTTTCGTGAGTTATTTTTCCGGCGGGGTTTCGCCACGTTGCCGCTCCTTGCCGCCTGCCTGGTTGCCACCTCGTGCGATGGGTGGGTCCGGCGAGGTTTCGCCACGCTGCCGCCCAACTGGTGCGCTGGATGGGTCTGACGACCTTCCGCCACGTTGATGCCCGTTGTCGTCGCATCGCGGCCTCGTGCGCTGGCTGGGTCCAGCAAGGTGTTGCCACGTTGCTGTCCGTTGCCACCTCGTGCGCTGGGTGGTTCTAGCAAAGATTCGCCGATCTGCTGTTCGTTACCGCTTTGTTGCCGCCTGTAGCTTGCACAACCACCTTTAATGCACTACATAACTGACACCATGTAGCTTGCAATGCGCAACTTGCACATCCACAGTGCAGTAACTTACTACATTCTGCCCACGCGGGCTAGCACACATATGCGTATATAAGTATAGGCCTGTGTACTGGTATATGGATGTATGCATGCATGTGGTATGTGTAGGTTGACCCAAACACATATTATTGTACGTATGCGCGTGTAAACATAACGACAAATGGCTACATGTGTATGCGTACGTATGTGTGCTTGTGTATGTGTATGCGGGTATGCCGATCGATACGCACATCTGCATGTGTGGACACCAGCATGTGTATGTATGCACGTAACTAATGCATATGTATGTCGCTCGTACTCGGAACACGGGGGCCAACTGGAACCGACTCGGGCATCGCAGTGAGCCCAACAAACGGCAGTCGCCGCCCTCCGAAATTCTGTAAGTTGATCGGCCACCCATATTGGGAGGCAGCGGGAAAACACGAGCTGTGTTGCACAACTGATAAGCCATAACGATCGCCTCGATATCTGCGGCAGTGGGGGATCCACTGCGACCGACCTTCGAGAACAGACCAGGCGACACCTGGGCCCCTCGCGGGTAAGCTAGATCCCAGAGGACCTCGCATTGCAGGTCGTGGGAAAAAAAGTGTCGCGAGCGGGGAGGAGAGGCAACTCGTGGCATCTGAACCTACAAGGCTGGACCCCATCCTGGGTGTGGAGCCTGGCGGAGGTAAGCCAGACTCCAGAGCTCGTCTTAAGTACAGCGCTTTGCCAGGACGGGGCGAAAGCTTCGAAAAGACAGCTCGAAGCGGAGGCCACGAGTCGCGAACGTCCTCGAGCCCCCAGGATCTCTGACGCCGCGCAGCGAGGAGGTGGAGGACATCAGGGAAGGAGGGAGGCATGGAGGGAGGCAGACAACACATTCTGCGCACGCACTCGTGCGCCCCCGCTCTCCGCCTCGGCGCAGCGGAAGGCCTGCCGCGCGGAGGCCGCGGGGCGCGCGAACGCCGTCTCACTCGCGAATCCCGCCTCGGCCTCGGCGAGGCCCAGTGCGAACGGCTTGGGGCGCCCGAGCGTCGGCGGCAGGTTCTGCTCACCGATGGCCTGGAGCGCGCCGTGCTCCGAAGCCTGCTCCGCCAGCCATCCGCGCAACTGCTTCCAGTTGGTGACGGTAACGTGAGCAACTGGCATCAACGAGGCCGTGCCAGTCGCCACCATGGAGCGGAACCGCAGGCCAGGCGCCCAGGAGCCCGCCGACAGGACGTCGCGGCAGGCCAGCGCCTGAGGGGGCAAGCTCCAGATCTTCGCGAAAGCCCACGCCTCCTTGGCACGCAGAGACGCGACGAGTGTAGCCACCAACTGCTGAAGGTAGCCCAGCACGGGCAGGGCGCGCTGGTTGTACAGGCGCGCGGCGAAGGACGGGGGGGCAGGAGGCGAAGTCCATCCATCATCCGCGCGAACCACTCCGCCGCCGTCTTCCTCCAGACATCCGCTTCCCGCGCGGCAGGAACAATGACGAACCCGAGGTGGCCAGTCTTGCCCAGGATGGACATGCCCGACAGGTAGGTGCTCCAGGACCCAAGCGCGCAGCTCGCACACGGCGGCGTCCGAGAACTCGACGTTCAGCGATATCAGGATGCACCTGTGGAACTTGAGCTGCAGTCCCGCCAGCGTGCGCGCCGCCTCGAACTCCCTCCAAAGGCCGAGGAGCCTGCGGGACTAGAGCGCGGGCTCCTGTCCCCGTGGCGCATCATGTGGTGGATGGAGGGGTTCATCGCGATGGCCCACATGCTGCCCGATGACGGGCAGCCCTGGGCGATCCCGCAGGTGATGCAGGCGAAGTGCACCATCTCTCCAACCAACAGCACGAAGGCGGTGGGGAGCCAGTAGAGGGAGAGCAAGGTGTGCAGGAGGCCGCCATCGAAGCCCGAGAAGACCAGCATGCTCGCCATCCACTCCACCATGGGCGACGGGAAAGCATCGCCGAAACCGAAGAGCGCCAGCAGCGGCTTTGCGAGCGTGCTATCCTGGAAGCCCGCCGCTCCGGCCGTCGTGCCCAACAACGTCAGGTTGTCCAAAACGTTGCGGCCCTTGAGGAAGCCACGCTGAGGCGCAGGTGAAGTGCACTCCACCGCGGCCTTGATGCTGGCGTTGGTGGCGGCGGCCACCAGCTTGCAGTCGGAGTTCTTCAGCGCGATTGCACGCGTGGTGCTGGGCGCCGAATGCAGATGTATGTGTACGTATGCACATGTATGTATACACATATATGTATGTAGTCGTACATGTGTACGTATGCGTAAGTGTAGTTGTGCATGTGCATGCATATATATATATATGTGCATATGCATGTACATGCGTATGTAATACACATGTACATGCACATGTGCATTCATAAATATATGTATATATATGTATGTATATACACATCTGTGTAGGTATGTGAATTTACGTGCACGTGTGCGTGCATGCGTATGAGCATGCTTATGTGTGCGTGTATCCACTGACAGACATACAGAGACGCCATGCGCCCTGACGGCGCATCGGCAAAAGAGCGTTGACTAGGGATTGAAGCTCCACACCCAATTCGGCAAACCCCTCACACGTTTCGTGGCCCCACGAAGGAGCTCCACCGAATGCCCGAATGCCACCGTCCGCTCGCGTTCCTCACACCCATGTCGGCAGACCTCTCACATGTTTCGTGGCCCCATCGGGAGCTCCACCGAAGGCCCCAGTGCCACCGTCCACATGCGGCCCCCGCACGCACCGATCTCAAACGTGCGTCGTGCGAGCGAGCGACGGGTGTATACACACATGTACACATACATATACCATCTACGTGTGTACCCAAAAGGGCCCCGCAAATCCCAACCGGCATGGCGAACGCACAACACGCGAGGAGTCAAGACCGCCGAGCGCACGGCTGCCCTGGCTCATTATGCTTCTTTGCCCTGTCACAATGAGCACCAGGGCCTGTGCCGCCGCGCGTCCAGCTGCACTGGCCAATTCTGCATTCAGCACTCGAAAGCCGACCAACTCTCCGGGCGTACGTTCCGGGCGTACGTGCTCGATGGAGTGAGCGGAAGACATCAAAGGACGTAGAACAGGAGGACACACATCGGGAGCTGAAGGGGAACACCAAGACGAGCAAACGAACGAGGCAGGGCAAAGCAGAGGTTCGCCACCGCTACATCAGCGGTCGTTTTGGCCCGCTGGACAGACAAGGCAACTCTTTCCACCCCCCTGAGATCGCACGGGGAATGGGGGTCAACACCTCACGCCGGCTTGGTGCCACGATTGTGGGATGGGGGGAGCAATTTCTGACACCGCCGATCGGGTGAAATCACCAAATGATCCCTCTGAGTCCCATCGGCGAACTGCACGAACGCGCAACCCAAAGTAGCATGATGACCAGAAATATTAAGTCACGAGGGAAACATGAAGAGGAAGAGGAGAGGAAACTGACACCTTGATCTTTGATTGCCTTGACCGACGATGTAGTGCTACACAATGTGGACGGGCTTAGAGCCAGAACGAGAAACGAAAGAAGCGAGGAGAGGGGGGGAGGAGAGAGAAGGGGAAGACGGGAGGAGGGGAGGGAACGATTACCTCCCCCAGTCAGACGTCGACAGGACAACAGAAGGAATCCACTTGAATCCAAGTGCAGGCATAATTGCAAATTCAAACGAACATGCAATGTGAATACAACTGCAAAACGCAACATATCACAGTACATACGTGACGCAATGTTGACGTTCAGCGTAGCATCTAGCAACATGCGATCCTAGCACACGATCCCCATCCTCATCCTCTCCATTCTGTATTCCTCGTCCTCCTGATTTCGCCACCTCACTTCTCGTACTCGACTCAGCGTCAGCCTGTCGTCACCTCCGCTGTCCTCCTCCTCATCCTCCTCATCCTCCTCCTCCTCCATATGTCCTCTCCCGGAACATGCACGGCTCGACCTCCGGTCGACTCGTCAGTTCACGGACTCCTCCCCCCGTCCCTCCCCCGCTCTCTCGCTTGCGCCCTCTTACTCGCTGCGCCCCGTCCTCCTCCTCAATCTCGACTCTCTGCCTCGTCTTCTTCGTTCCTCGTCCTCTGCGCCCTCCTTTCTCCTCCTCCGCGGCCGGCACAAGGGGGGGAGGGAGCGTGCGGAGGAGCGGTCCGCGCCTGCCAACGCGCGTCTTCGCATGGAGCCCGTGCCGCTGCAGAGCCAAACCCTCGAGCTACAGACGGAAAACATCGTGCCTTCGTGCCCTCAGGGGCGCCGGACGGCGCATGTGAAAATTAGGCCAGCACAGCCGTGGGCCAACTGAACGCTGATGGCACATTCGGCACGTGCCTACATGGCCGCGGCAACGACGGCCAGCTCTTTGAGAGCCCGCGTTGGATGAGCAGCGTGTAGGCGCTGGCTGGAAAAGCACGGAGGCCCTGCTGGTGGCAGGTCGGAGGGTGGCATCGAGTTCTGCCTGCCCCAAAGGATCAGAAGGCATCCTTAGATGCTGATGGGCTCCTCCGAGAGGCCCTTGGGGCCATCTTCGACACCCGACGGGAGGTGGTCCGCGAAATCCGCCACCGTGCCTCGGCGGCACGGAGTGGGCATGGGTCTCAAGTCTTGCCGCATCCTCGAAGCCTCAGCCCTCACTCCCGAGGGGTCTTCACGGGGGCCCATAACCCAGCTTCCGACATCTCCCGAGGCTTGCCACGCGCCCCTCCCGGCTTCCCGCGTGCCCCGGGGCCTTTTGGGAAGTGGTGTGGCGCGTGACTTGTTCGGGCCCAAGAGGGCTCCACAAGGCACCCAGGACGCTCCAATGAGGGCCCCGAGTCGCCGAACTATCGCTCCAAGCGCCCGAGATGGCCCCCAGACGGCCCAAGACCTCCAAGGCCCCCAGAAGCCTCCTTGGGCGTTTGATGGTTTTTGGCTTTCTCGCCGTTCCGGCTTCCCGACGCTCCCAGACGGCCCCCAGAGGCACACAAGACCGCCCCAAGACGGCCCAAGAGAGGCCTCCAAGAGGGCCCCAGGACGGCCGGAAAATCTGAAATTTCCGCCTCAAGGGGCCCCAGGGAGGCCCCACGAGGCACCCAGGAGGCCGCAAGCGGCCCCCAAGAGGCCCCCAAGAGGCCCCCACGAGGCACCCAAGAGGCCCCCACGAGGCACCCAAGAGGCCCGAAAGAGGCTCCCGAAACGGCCCCCCAAGAGGCATCGAGACTGCCTCCAAGAGGCCTCCCACGAGCTCCTGGAGGCTGCTTGTGGAAACTTTTTGGGGGGGGGGGCTCGTTTTGCTCTCGTGGGGCGCTGGGGCCCGACGAGCCTCGCCCTGCCCCCTGCCGCGGAGGAGGGAGGAAGGAAGGAAGGAAGGAAGGAAGGGAGGGAGGAGGAGAAGGAGGAGGGGGAGGGAGGGAGGGATGGAGGGAGGAGGGATGGAGGGAGGGAGGGAGGGAGGGAGGAAGGGAGGGAGGGAGGGAAGGAGGAGTGAGGAGGAGGAGGAGGAGAATGAGGAGGAGGAGGAGGAGAACGAGGAGGAGGAGTGCGGCCCGCTGGGTGCGAGACGGGCGGGCACTGCGGGCTGGCTCCGCGCGCGCCGAGCCCCGAGCGGCGTCTGCTGCCGCGCCCCGCGCCGGCTGCTGCGCCCCGCGGCGCGGAGCGCCCCGTGCAGCGGCACGCTCGGGTCGGGCGAAAGGGGGGGATAGCAAAGGGGGGGTTTGAGAATCAGCTCACGTAGCTTATTTTCCCGGCGCCTCCCGGCGCCGCGAGGCGGCTATTCATCGAGGAACGGGCCCCTCGGTGGGGCCGAAACCAGCTGCATGCAGCAGATTTCGTAACCCCCCCTTTCCCAATCCCCCCCTTTCGCCCGACCCGACACGCGGGGAGGGCGCGCCAGCGGACAGCGAGCGCGCGGGGAGGGCCACGCTCGCGGCGGGCCAGAAGAGCAAACGTCTGCCTGCATTTCGAGCAGGCGCGGGCGCGTCGAGGGAACGCGCCGCGGCGAGGCGTAGGAGAGCGCGAGGGGCGCTCTCCTGTGAGCGGGGAGCGGCTGGAAGGCATGCTGCAGACCAGTGCTCCAGAAATGCCGGGCCTGTGCCCAGAAACGTGACCCGTCCATTGAGGGCGTGGTGCACAAAGCGCGTCCTGGGGATCCACCAGGAGCTGGAGAGATAGAGGTACAGTGCGGGAGGGGGGATGAGCAGCAGCGGCTTCTGAAATAGTTCTCGCACAACAGCACAGGGCTAGCGGCTAGAGCTACACAATGTGTTTCGCTCTCGTGTAGTTTTCATTCTGCCTTTGTTGCGAAGCGACATCAAAACGAAAACGGTCCACGAGATCTGGAGAAAGATGTTGTGGGAACAAGGTCCTGATACCGCTATTCCCTGGACCTCCCCCGGGGTGCGCTCCGACTGCGATTTCGAAGCGAATCCAGCGGTGACGACAAGGGCCTCCCAGGAGGCCCATAATGGGGCAAACGAGGGAAGGGTAGCGGTACAGTGGAGGCCAGTCCACAAGACACCTTCCACAAGAAACCCAATCCTGAGACCCCAGGACGTCCCTTGGGTTTGGGTGTGGGAACGCCACGCTGCCCATGGCACAGCCATCGACACCCAAGAAACCCAGGGCGCACCCTGGAGGCAGGCAGGGTGCTTCTTGGCATGGGTATCCACTGTGTTGGTACATGTTCCTCGTCTGAGTCTATCCTTCGGTCGGGCCTGTCCCCCTACGGGGGGATTGTGAGCGAAAAATCAAAAACAACAACCCCAAAACATACACCACACATATTCGAACATAATCAAACACATCGCCCCCAGATGTGCTTCTTTTTCCTATCTCTGAGCCTCCCTCCTGTAGAGGGACAGGCCCGACTCCAGTCCAGCTCCAGCCCTGCCATAGGCGCCGCTGGAGGCCGCCCGCGCCCGTGCCGCCCGCCGCCCGGGGGGGCGCCCGCGGCGCCCGGCGCGCCGGCTTTGCTGAGTGGCCCCGGGCGGAGGGCTCCGACCAGCCAGCCCCGCGGAAGGGGCCGAAGGGGCACACAAACAGAGACACACCAAGCCCAATCCCAGGGACAAGGACACACCAAGGCAGGAATCCCAGGGACAGAGACACACCAGTCGCCAGCCCAACCCCAGGGACACACACGCACACACAAACAAAGGCACACAGGGACAAAGACTCACCAATCCCATGATTCCCCATCTTTTCCCGCATCGGAGGCTGGGGGGTGAGATCGCAGCGGAACGGAGACCCCCGACCGGGAAATCGTGTCGTTTCGTTCGTGTCGTGCGTGCGGGCGAAGCGAAGCTGCGTGGGCGCGCGAGAGGAATGAACCCGCCGTTGCCAGGGCGAAGCCAAGACAAATGTTTCTCCTCCGTCCGTCCGTCCGTCCGGCGGTGGCCCTAGCGGTGTCCCGCGGTGTCCCGTGGTGTCACGTTGAGTGAGATCGATAGTGAGATCGATAGTTAGATCGATGATGAGATCGATAAAGATATCGATACTGAGATCGATGTGGTGCCCCGAAGTGTCCCGTGGTGTCCCAAAAAGTGAGATCGATAATGAGATCGATAGTGAGATCGACAGGTGTCCCGTGGTGTCCCGTGGTGTCCCGTTGAGTGGGACCGATCGTGAGATCGATCGCGAGATCGATACTGAGATCAATGTGGTGCCTCGAGGTGTCCCAATGAATGAGATCGATAGGGAGATCGATAGTGAGATCGATGTGGTGTCCCGAGGTGTCCCGTGGTGTCCTATGGTGCCCCGTTGAGTGAGATCGATAATGAGATCGATAGTGAGAACGATAATGAGATCGAGAAATGTCTCGCGGTGTTCCGTATTGGCCCGTGGTGTCCCGTTGCATGAGATCGATAGTGAGATCGATAGTGAGATCGATGTGGTGTCCCGCGGTGTCCCGTGGTGTCCCGTGTTGGCCCGTGGTGTCCCGTCGAGTGAATAGTGAGAGCGAGAGGTGTCCTGTGGTGTCCCGTTGAGTCAGATCGATCGTGAGATCGATTGAGTCAGATGTTGGTTTCCCCCGTCTCCCCCCCCAAAACCTCCCTATCACCCGAAGGGAGGTCGTCTAGGTTTTTTTTGTTTACTTTCGTCTTACCCCCCACTTCCTATTGTTTCGCACAATTCCCTGGGAATCGGCGATTCATTGTGTCTGTGTGTTTTCCCCTCCTGACCTACGCTGGGGAGACCCGCACCCTGGGGATAAGAAAGGTCGGGGTCCTGGGAGGATGAGAAGTTTTTGCCAAAGAGATCGACGTTGGAATGTCATGATGGGTCTTGAATGACCTCGAGGCTGATCTGGAGAAGCTTCGAGAACTTGCGCTTCGCTGGATACATCCTCACGGAATTGATGAGGATTAGTCATGGTGCTCTGCATGATATGAATATCAGAACGACGATGCGCACTTTGGGGTTGCTCCCAAAGTTCGCTTCAAAGTCGCCCTCCCGCGCCGCTTGTGCCCATCTGAACGTACACCCCGTGGAAATAATCAGACAGAGGGGGTAAATGGGGGGGTCACCTGTATTATCCGCTGCCTGCGGTTATTGCAGGACGGAAGAATGACCACAGCCACTGCTTCTTGTTTGCGCCGCCTTCCAGCTGGCCGAAAAAGAAGCAGTGGTTGTGGTCATTCCCTGGTGCCAAGCTCAACGAAAATGACCACAACCACTTCTTTGTTTCTGCGGGCTGGAAGGCGGCAACAAAAGAAAAGCAGTGGCTGTGGTCGTTTTCACGCCCCGTAGTTATCCAGGCGAAGGGCCCCCGCCACCTACGCTCAGACGAAACCAGGACGAGGAGCAGATCAGGTCAGGATGCATCGGCAATCTCTGAGATCCGGCGGCTCTGGAGGACGTCTCGGGCGCCGCGGCCTTCTCAGACTGCTCTGGAACGCTCTGAGAGCGGCCCGGAACGCTCTGGAACGGAGGTATCCTTCTCCTAGCCCCGCCCTGTATGCAGCTGTGTTCGGGCGTTGTTGGCAGAACTGGATTTAGTGGGATCTGGTTCAATGATGTTTGCTAAAAGACGCCCCCCCCCCTCCCGCCACATTTCAAAGAACCGGAACTGCCATCACCCAACAAACACCAACTACAGCAGACCTGGTTTAATGGGTCTGGCCAATTTTGGGGGCTTCGGGGCCCAATCACCAACCAGCTCCCCTGAACCGGGATCCTAGCCCGATGTGTGTTTTCAAGGCGCAATCCCCATCTCTATACCGCGCGCTGCGGGAGTGGATTTTTGGGGAATGCGGCCAGGGGGCTGCGGAGCAAGCGCGCAGAAACCTACGTGGCGCGGTCCGCGTAAAATGCGTGCCGATACGGCCAGTTCGTCAATGCGAGTTCCTCCGATGGGGCCATGGGTGGATCTCCCTACGGTCACGATCCGTGTGACGGGTGCACCGACATGGCCACGGTGGTGCCATGCAACTTCCTCTGCTAAGACTATGGGTGTATCTCCTATGGGGCGCGATCCACGTGAGGGGTTCAACGAAATGGGCGGGGCGAGGCCGTGCGAGTTCCTCCGCTGGGGTGGGGCACTTTGTGAATATCCGTATGGGGCACGACTCGCCCGAGGGGTGTGCCGACATGGGCGCTGAAGTTCCATGCGAACTCCTCCGCCAGGCCCACGTAAGGATATCCCTGTAGGGCGCGATCCGTGTGAGGGGAACGCCATAATGAACTGAAGGGGCCCTGGGACACACAAATAAATAGACATCAATAACAAGATTCCCCATATTTTTCCATATTTCTGAATTTTCATCTTCCCCCCCACTTCCCATCTTTTCGAATATTTTCCTTGGAGTCGAAGATGCCTTGGCCTGATGCACACCGTGGCGCCGCGCGAGCTCGCACGCTGGGGCTATGGCGCGGAGCTCTCTATCCGGGCCACGATCCGTGCTCGGGATGCCCGACAGGGCGCGGCGGCGGCGCGCGATGCCCTCCGCTGGGGCCATGGGCGGAGCTCCGCACGGGCCACGCTGGGGCCATGCGCGGAGCTCTCTCTGGGCCACGATCCGTGCTCAGGGTGCCCGACAGGGCGCGGCGGCGGCGCGCGATGCCCTCCGCTGGGGCCATGGGCGGATCTCCGCACGGGCCACGATCCGCGTGAGGGGTGCGTCGACATCTTGCCGTCGCTCCGACGTCCATTTCCCGTGCATTCTTCGGTTTCGTGCGTGTTTTTTGTTGCTCGATGGTCCAGGATGGTCCTCGATGGTTCTCGCCGAGAAGAAATGCACACGTCCGAGCGATGCCAAGACATGGGCACGGTGGTGCCGTGCTGCTTCCTCCGCTGTGGCTCTCTGTGCAGCCCCGGTGGGGCGCGATGCGCCTCAGGGGTGACATGGCGCGGTGGCGCTGCGCGGCTTCCTCCGCTGGGGCCATGCGGGAAGCTCCCTGTGGGCCACGATGCGGGTGAATGATGCGCCGAAGGCGCGGCAGCGCCAGGCGACTGCCTCTGTCGGGTCCGTGTGCGGAACCACCTGTCGGCCAGGATCCGCACGAAGGAGGAGGAGGAGGAAGAGGAGGAGGAGGAGGAGGAGGAGGATTAGGAGGAGGAGGAGGAGGAGGACAGGGGGACGTGGGTTGAAACACGCTGTGGTGGGGGAAGGGATTGCGGTGCTCCCCTCGCCCCGGCCGAGATGGGGAGGAGGAAGGTTGGGAGGCAGCTTCTGGGAAGTCTTCGTCAGGACGGCAGCTGCCAAAACACGGGGCCACTATCGAGCCGGATCGGCCCAGATTGGGCGGGCTGTCGAACGCAGCACAGACATGCCGGCACCGACTTGAACATCCCAGCGGCTGCAGCCGAAAGAGAGAGGAAGAGGAGGCGGAGGAGGAGGGCAAGCTCGGGAAGAAGGGCCCCTCCGCATCACGCTTGGGGGCTCTCTCACAGGCCTCGTGCCACCTGCGCGCAGGGTGAAGCCGCCCCGCCCTGGGAGCCCGCCTCGCTCGCGTGCGGCACCGGGGGAGGACGTTTTCGGGATGCCACGGGGGATTCCAGCAGAGCGGAGGCGGCTGGAGCCGTGAGGGGCGGATGGGGAGAGGGGAGGCACAAGACGAGCAAGAAGCCTCGGGCCCTGCCCCCACCGTGTACAAGGGAGCCGTCGTGGCCAGGAGATCGGATGGGGGGTGATGAGGAAGAGGAGCGGGGGAGGGAGGACGAGGACGACGGAAGAGGAGGCGGGAATGCCATGTCGGCCGGGGGCGCACCGGGCCCTCCCAGCCCTCGAAGGCGCGCGCGGCAGGGCAAAGCCGCGCGGGCAAGCAAAACGCGGCGCAGCAGCTCGAGCGAGCATGCTGCTCCGGCCCACAGCAGTGCAGCGGTCCTTCTCTCGCCCTGCGGGCCCCCCGCCGTGCGCGGCCTAGCTTCCGCGGGGGAGGGCCCCTCGCCGGGGCACGCCACCGCTCCGGGGGGGGGCGAAGAGCGAGCCTCGTGGCGGCCCCGGCGCCTCAGTCGCAGAGCCGCTGGTCCAGGGCGAAGTGGGAGCACAGGGCCACGAACACCACCCACAGGCAGACGAGGGCGCCGGCGGACAGCACCTTGTCGTGCCTCGGCCCGCCCAGCTCGCCGCCCAAGCGCCGCCGGCGCAGGTAGAGCAGGCCCATGGCTCGGGTCGGGCGAAAGGGGGGGATAGCAAAGGGGGGGGGGTGAGAATCAGCTCACACAGCTGATTTTCCCAGCGCCTCCCGGCGCCGGAGGCGGCTATGTATCGAGGAATGGGCCCCTCGGCGAGGCCGAAACCAGCTGCATGCAGCAAATCTCGTAACCCCCCCTTTCCCAATCCCCCCCTTTCGTCCGGCCCGAATGGCCCCCAGGGCGCAGCAGGTGAACACGGCGACGCTGGGGGCGAGCGCGCCCGACCTGACAACGAAGGCTCCGCCGCGGAAGCGCGGCGGGATCGGGACCAGGGACTCGATGCCCGCTGGTGGTGCGAACTTCTCGATCCACGCGGCATCGGGCTCTGTCCAAGACCAGTAGAGCGAACCCATCGTCCATGGCAGGCCCAGCCCGAGAAAGACATTGACAGAGTTGCTGCCTGTGACGTTGCCAACCGACGCGTCGGCAGTGGGATCTTGCACCGCTGCCGTTCTTGACGCGAAGAGGTCGGGCAGAGAAGTACCAAGCGCAACGAATGTGATCGCGGTGACCTCATCCGGAACACCAAGCACACAGCCAAACAGTGCGGCCAGGTCACCGATGAGGGCGGTGATGAGCGCGATCATTCCCAGTGAGCACACGAAGCAGAGCCAGCCACCGCAGTACTCGGTTGGCGGCACGAAAGCGAAGAGCAGCTTCCAGGGAAGCGTGATGATGTGCATGACGTAGTCTGACAAGCTGGGCTCCTCTGCCACCTCTAGCGACAGTGACGACATCGAAGACGTATCCGAATGCGTCGGAGAAATGAGCTCGTTGGGGTTCTGACTTCCCAGATTGTGCTCCTCCGGCGACGAACCATTCACATACAACGCTCCAATGAACTGTTCCTTCCAACTGGTGTGTCCGAGCCGAGACTTGTCCCACCTTCGCTGAAGCTTGTGCCAGACGTAGTCGACGCGCTCCTTGGCCTTTCCCCCGCTGCACTCGATGATGACTGACAATATGCAGCAATTGTCCTGGCTCCCGTCGCACTCAGGATCGAACGTGGCGCCGCCCTCCACGTCCGAGAGGACCACGCGGAATACCTCCTTGCGTTCGTAGCGGGCTGAACCCTTGATGATGCACGGGATGGTCTGTTGTATTATTCCGTTCTCGAACACGAGCGTCCCTTCCGTCGCCACGTAGTCAATCCCCGCCTTCGCGGACGCGTCCTCGGTCTTATATTTACACATCACCTGGCCAGCGCAACCGTTGCTGCGCTCGACGCGCAAATTCACTGTGAAATCCTCGGGGCCATCCTTGATGGTGATATTGTCATTCCCCTTCTGATCGCCCTTGAAACGAAGCTGTCCGGGCAAGTCGTCGTCGATGATCACTATAGTCGTGGTGGCCTTCTCGCCTATCTCCGCTCTGTATCCTCCGCAAGCATCGGCGCTAAGGATCTTCCCATCGGCATCAATAATGTCAGGGTCCCGAAGGTCGACGAAGAACTCCTCGTTATTCTCGAACGCAGTGTCATCGACGATTTCGAGCTTGATGGAGAGCGACTCGACGCCTATATCGAAGATAAGTTCACCGCTTTGATGTACGTAGTCTTCGCACGCCTTCGCCGTCCCCTCGCGGGTGCTGAATTTGACCCGAACCTTCTTGTCAAGGTTGCCACTCCGTTCCACGAATACCTCGCGGGGACCAAGGTTCTCGACCATAGCATAACTGAGAGCAGCGAACTGGATAATGGTTTTCTTCGCTGCCCCTTCGTCTACCAAGTCCATGACCTGGCCGTCTTTCTTCTGCCCTTCTGGTTCAGGCGCCACTTTTTTCAATCTGCGCTCGAGTGCTCGTCCAATCAGAGTGGCGCTACGTTTGGGTCCTACGCGCTTTCCTCCAGTGATGGCACGGATCGCTCCCACACGGTAGTGCGCACGACTATGACCCTGAGAATATTCATGGTCGATGAGCTTGGCCAAGACCTTGTCCGAGAGAGGCTTGGCACCCGCCGTCTCGTATTCCTGCCGCATCTTAGCAACGGCTTCGGCCAACTCGTCCTTGGACATGCACTCTGCCACGACACCTTTTTCGGCGCTCCCCGCATCAGAACACATGCTGAATATGTACCCCTTGTCCGCCAGAAAAGCCATCAAGACCAGCACCGGCATGAAGCCCAGGGTCAGCATCCCCTCCCAGGGCTCGACGACGTTCTGCGACGACCCCTCCAGGATCACGAGCAGCCACCCGTAAGCGAACAAGGACCAGATTGCGGTGGTGAAGTACACAGGCATCTCCTTGATGCTCCGCAGATCGTCGTCAGGTATCGACATTACGCAGACGGCGATGATCACGAAGAGGTTGAAGGCAGCGCTCCCTACGATGGTGAAAGGACCCATGTCGCCGCTGTAGAAATCGTTGCCCAACAGCTCAATGACACTCAGCAGTATCTCGGGCGCGGAGGAACCTAGCGCCATAAGAGTCAAATTCGCCACAGTGGGGTTCCACACCATCTCGGTGACGTAGCGACCCCGCTGTGCTGAGAACTTCCGCACCCTCTTCGACGTGATGTGCTCTATAGCGCCCATGAAGACGTCCGAGATGAGCGCCACGCCCAAGAAACACCACACCAAAGCGATGAAATAGAGGGGGGCTCGCACACCATCCGGCCACTCTTGCTCGTCGTCACCGCCCCAAGGCAATTTGATGATGCCCCGGCTACCCACATCGCAGATTCGGGGCCCGCAGAAAGCGCCCTGATTGTCTGCACTCATGAAGAATGTCGCTTGCGATTTGGGGCACTGCAAGGGCAGCCCAATTTGAGGCGGCGGGAAGACTACCGACCGTCCTAAGGCTAACACTGACCACCGACCGTGAACCAAAAACTGACTACGGACCGTCTTAGGGCTATCCTGTGGCCCTCTTGAGCTGTATAATTGGGGCCGTCCGGGGCCGTCGCGGTGCCCATCTAGGGCCATCTCGCCCGTCTGCACGGCCAAGATGGAATCTTGTTGCCCTGCCCCTGACTCCCGGTCCCTCGTCACGGCCGCGCCCAGGCCCACTGCTATATGTCTTCAAGCGCGCACGAAATGAGGCCCGGGCGTGAACAAGTGACATATATATATATATATATATATATATCCGCCGGCCCCCTTGTGGGGCCACCAGGCTGTAGGCGCGGGTTCGCAGTTTCCTGTACCAGTTGTAGCTTGTAGTTTCCAGTGTTACAGTTCTGCTTCTTGCTGATTACTGTAACTAGTTGATTGACCGCGCGAGGGGGGGGGGAGGCCCAAACAAGATTTTTAGCGTCTCCTGGGCGCGTTGTCTGAATTGCTGGGGGGGCTCGAAATCGACACCCCTCACGCAGATCCGCGGGGTCAGGGTCCAAAAACACAGGGGATTTGCCACATTTCTGAAATTCGGTGCCACCCCTCACGCAGATCCGCGGGGTCAGGGTCCAAAAACACAGGGGATTTGCCACATTTCTGAAATTCGCGCCACCCCTCACGCAGATCCGCGGGGTCAGGGTCCAAAAACACAGGGGATTTGCCACATTTCTGAAATTCGGTGCCACCCTTCACGCACATCCATCGCAAGGCGTGGTAACCCAAACTGCGAGAACTCCCTCGGCCCTTTAATCGCAAGGTGTGGTAACCAAACCCGTAAACCATACACGTCTTACCAATCGCCAGGTGTGGTAACCCCTCTTGTGATCAGTTGGTTTTGCTGATTGCGAATCGGCTTCGCATGAAGTTTCGATACTGCTTCACGACAGCGCCAAGGCCTCATGACTTAGCTCTTCCATGGCCCATTCTCCGAGAGAGGGGGCCGGCGGCAGGGGGCGAAGCCCTTACGGATAGATAGATATAGGTATATATATATATGTGTATATATATATATATGTATATATGCATGTGTGCATGGGCCGAGTAAAGTGTAGGCTGTGTGTGTCTATGTATGTATGTATGTATGTATATATGTATATATATATATATATATACATGTGGCACGGGTGCTCCCAATATCGACCTTTGAGTGTTCGCATTTGGTTTTGTTATCGTCGACGCGTCGTCTCTTTTCTTGCGTTGCCTTTTCCGCGCGATCCTTTCCCGTGGTTTTGCTGGCAAAGGATTTCGATTTCTTAACGGACGGGATGTGTTGCACTTTTCCACACAAGGAGCCCGAGTGACATTTCCAGATCGAAGGTTCCTACTACAGTCCTCCACTGAAGAATCCGTATACGAGAGAACAACTGTTTTTGTTTTGTTTTTGTGTTCCTCACCGTGGCTCTTGCTGTGCAACCACACGGGGGAACCTGTTTCCAGGATTTGCAGCCATCCGTTTGTTTGTTATCAGACTTGGTTTTCGCTGTCCAGAAACAGGGGGTCCCAAGGCCGGCAAATTTACGTCCATGGTACCAGATCGCGAAACCATATTCAATGACCCTGGACGGACTTGAGAGTCCCTGTGCCTGGACAGAACAAACCAAAGCGGATAACAAAGGACACGAATTTTAGTCAGAGCTTCCATGTGCCTGGACAGCAACGAACAACGCAAAACATCACATTTGACTGGAATACTTCGGGATGTGTAACTTCAGGGTTATAGTTGGATTGTATATTTCGCTGATTACGCAAAAGGGGTCCTTTACGTCGAGGATTTGCAATGCAAGTCCACTTGTAAAGGATGACCGTGGAATTCCTTGTTGTAGACAATTATGATAGGCTTCCTTTAGCCTGGATTCCCAAGCGGATTTATTTGATGGAAAAATACACGAAGTTTTTTTGCTGGTTTCCGATTTCACTCGGATTCTTTGGTGTGGGCGCATTCAATTGGATCTTTTTTGCGGCGGACTACATTGATATTCCTCGCAGAGAATTACGACAGGTTCCCTCTGGTGGAGGATTTGTGTCGGATTCGTTTTGGGGACGGGTTTTAATAGGATTCCTTTCGCGAGGGACTGCCAAAGGAATCGCTGCGTAAGGTGCCACAAAAAAACATAATAATGTGGCTCGGGTGGTTCTGGGGGGTCGCTGGGGGGGGCGCAACCGCGCGCGCACGGCCCCCCGCCCCAGCGACCCCCCACAGCGCTTCAAACACGAAGCCTCGAAATCGATCGCTTCGCGAAGCTGTATAATCGTTTCGCTCGCGTGCTTCCGTTTGTTGCTCATGGTTGACAAACGCATCAACTCAGCCATCTGGCGCCGAGCGCGCAAGAATGATGATGTCCTTCGGGTGCGCGAGATCTGGTGCATCTGTATGGTTTGTTTGAATTTTCCGATGTGGAAACAGCGGTGGTTTTTGCGCTGAGTTTTGAACTTCGGGGTTCCCCGTCCTCGCAGAGGCCTCTCCGACAGCGCCTCTTCTAGAACGAAAAAACATGCGCCGCGTTTCGCTGATTCTCCACAAGACCGAAATAACGCGCCCGGCATTTCGCGCCGCCAACGGCCCGCGCATGAAACGTCTGCTTGCGTAGGCAGACATTGGGGCTCCACGCCCTGCCCGCCGTCCTTCGAGGATCTCGCCACTTCCGAAAGCTCGCCGACCATCCGTTTTGAACAGCGCCCCCCCCCCCGCCCGCCCTGTCGCCGGCCGCGGATCTTCGCCCCCGTGCCCGTGCAGCAACTGGAAAGAGCAGATCTTGCTCGACAGCGCCACAGTGTTAGCGGGCGCCCTGGCTCCCAGGTGCCTGCGCTCCTCGCCCCAGGCGCGGTCGATGATTTGGGTGCGAGCTTTAGTCCGGATGCGCTTGGTCTTGTTGGGGTGGCCGTCGTCGGGGACGTCGTGGTAGTGAACTTCAGCGCAAGCAGGCTCGGCCCGCATTCGCTCGCTGCTGCTCTAGGCGCGCATCATCTTATGAAACATCAAATCACGCATAACTCCCATCGAACCTCGGAATATAACTCCTCGCCCCATCCGCGCGGCGCACGACGTTGATCTTGCGGGTCCACTTCTGAACCATGCGATCTTAATCACATCTGCGGGTCGGACCTGGGCCTGGCGCCCGTCTCGTCGCCCTTGCTGGCTCGCGCCCGAACGGCGCGGGGGACTTCGTATCGTCGCGATGGGCAATGCCACCCCGCTGCTCTTATATGGCGCGCATTTGGGGCCCAGGGTCTGCGCTGGGGCCATCTCGCTTCGCGACGTCTACCACGTCCGCTTCGTCGCTCGCGCGCGGCAGGCATTTGCCGAACGCGATGTCCTGCCCGCGCTGGCCCGCGCATGCAGCGCGCGCCTCGCGCGCGGACTCGCGAATGCCCCCCGTCAGCTCGCGGTTCTGTTTCAGATGAAGACGCGCGGCAGTCTGCGAACATCGCGCCTCGGGGCAGAAGGAGATAGAAGCTTGGTCCGTCAAGCTCTCGGATGGCTGCCCCGCGCCGCACTGAAAGATGGGGTGGGATTCGCGGGAGCGCGCGGCACCTGCGCTTCTTGGGGTTGCAGCGGCACGCCCGCCCTCCATTCGAATCCTTGCAATCCTTCGTGGGGTCCAAGCTTCCTTCGTTGCAATACGGGCGCGCGACGCCGTTCCAGTCGGGCACGGCCTTGTCATCTGCCATCCTGTGGATTCTACGCGGAAGCCGGGCGGGCGGACCTAGCGATTGCCGCCCTGGAGATCTCACGCCGGCTCGCCGTCGCGCGAGCAGCGGGGCCCTGCGCGCCGCAAGCGCCCCCGCCCATTCCAAGGGCCCCCGCGGCGAGTCATGGCGCCGCTGCGAGCCCGACGAGGCGTCTGCGTTAGAGCTCTGCCCTGAACCATCTACAGCAGCCCGCCCCGCGCGCGCGATGCCGCAAGACCAACGTCACGAACTGCTTCGGAAACGCAACATGTCGGCCGCGGGGGCAGCGGGCCGACTCCTCCAACGCGAATGAGAGGCTTGGTATACATGGATGCCGGGCGTCTCGCCGTCGTCGCTGCCACGCGCACCCAGCGACTGCCCGTGGCCCGCGGCAGGGCTGTCCGGGGGCGAGGAGGCACGCGGGTCGTGTCGGGCGCGGGCTATAGCATCGTGCACCCCTGTCTCTGCGTCGAACGGACCGCGGCCTTCAACGTCGCACGCTGGGCTCTCCATGTCGGGCAAGGGCCGCGCATGGGCCTCAATGGCAGCAAAGGGCGCGACGCGCATCCGCGAAGAGCCGATCGGAAACTTCTGGTTGACGCGCGGATGTAGGCGCCGAGCGCTAGGGCTAAAATGCAGAGATGCCCCTCGCGCGCCTCGGCGGCCATGCAACGCCCGAAAGTGCCCCCGCACGGTTGCCCACGCACCAACAGCTAGTTTGCCCGGAAGAAGTCGCGAATCGCTTCGCGACGCGCTTAGAGCCGCAACGCCTGCGACATTGAAATCGGGGGCGATGCGTTCCACCAGATACGATTCTAATTGTTGACGCCTGGCATCCAAAATCAGCGACACACGTTGAGAATGCACTCTCTGGCCACGTGCAAGAAAAAGGTGAGAAACAAAAAAAAAACAGAAACCTCATGGGACGCGCCCGCCGCGGCCTAAGTTCTTTAAGAAAAACTGTACTAGCGACACTTTGCGACAAGGTATGACATGATTTGGTGGTTCATTTGGACGGGGAAGTCGCTTCCATGGCGGGCCGCAAATGGGCGCGGCGGCATCAGCGGGGCGGCAACGCGCAGAGGGAGGCGCCGTCTTCGCTGGTTGTCTATATCTTCGCCGAAGACAACGCAAGTGCCACCTCCTGGCCCTGGGCCCATCGACAGGATGGACTGGGGCCCGCACGCGAGGAGGTGATTGAAGGGCCGCTGCGTTTTCCTCCGCGCGGATGGCGCGCGCCCGCGCAAGATTGGCGCCACCGAGAAGTGGGTTCTCGGCACGAGTTCGTCGCGCATGACAAAAAGAAGATGCGGGGCAAATGGGCGAGGCCCAAGTTTGCGCAGCTTTTTCGCCGCCAAATGCCAAGATACGCACCGAAGGGGGCACCCGAGTTATCGATCGAATCTGGAGCTACGTCCGCGAGATAATGTTCAGCCGTTCCCCCGCCGCCAACGCGCGCTCTTGGGATGACCGCGTTCGCTCTGCCCGGTGGCTTTTTTGGAACGCAGGGCAGGGCTCGCGGCCAAAGACTGGGGATCGGTTCGCAGAGCTAGAGCTAGCGATTGATAACTAGGTCAGCGTTTCACGTCGCCGATGCACTCCTTGAAGATTTGTCACTGGCGCAGGCAAGAACAGTCGCGGAACAAGTGATCGCTGGCCCCAACGCCGCGGAAATGCCTTCTCATCGTGGCCGCAGCCGGTCGGCGCGCTACCACTTCCGCGCAGGGCGAGGGTCGCCCACCATTGGTTTCGAGCGCTCCTCGGCCCTAGACAATTCCGACGCGACCCAGAGCGAACGTGAAACACACACCAGTGCGACAGGATGACCCCCAGACGAAATCATGGCGAACGCGGGCGGATTTCGCACGCCCGCAAACGCTGCAAAAGCGGAGGCGCGGCTGGGCAGCATCTCGCGGGCGCGGCGCCATATTCGATCGGCAACTGTGGCCTTGTGCGCGCCGAAGTCGCGCGCGATTTCATCGGGCGCCCTATTCCCGTTGGCGACCATATTGCATGAGCGCGCGCCGCCCGCGTGGAGGCGAACGCAGCGGCCCTTCAACCGCCCCCTCGCTGGCGCCCCCCGGCCCTGCCTGGTGATGGGCGCAGGTCCAGGAGATCGCACTGTCGCTGTCTATGGTGGAGTTCAAAACATAACCAGCGCAGGCGGCGCCCCCCTGCGCGCGTTGCCGCCCCACTGATGCCGCCCCCCCCCCTTTTGCTGCCCGCCATGGGATCGACTTCCATGCTCGAATCAACCTCATCTGCGCCCACATCGCGCCTTACCTCGTCGCTGTTGCATGGTCGCTTCAAGAACTCAGGCCACCTCGGGCGCACCCATTGGGGTGTTTCCTTGGTCTGCGTTGTCGCAAGCAATACAGCATTGGCGCTTGTCGTTTTTGATGCGGGATGCCTGTGCTTAGCCACGCATCGGGTGAAGCGCCTCGCCCTTGATTACACTGTCTCTGCAGATCAGGTGCTACGGCTCCAAGAACGTCGCGGCGCCATTCGCGACATCACCCAGGTAAGCTAGCAGCTGGTGCGTTGGCAACCATGCGGGGACACCTTCGGGCACCTTATGGCCGTCGAGGCGCGCGAGTGACAACTCTGCATTTTGGACTCGGCGCTCGGTGCTATCATCCGCGCGTCCACCAGCAATGCCCGATCGACTGCTTCGCGGGTGCACGTCGCGTTCTTCGCTGTCATCGGGGCCAACGCGCGGCCCCCTCCTGAGATGGGGGACCCGCCGCATGATTTGGGCGGCTGCGGTCCGCTCGACGCGGCGACAGAGGTGTGCGGTGTCATTGTGGGCGCCTGACAAGGCGCGCTTGTCTGCCCTGCTCTGGGCAAGCAGCAGTCGAAGAGGGCGCGCTGCAGCAGCGGCCGCAACACGCTCGGCACCCACGTCAACCAAGAACTCTCGCACGCGTCAGAGGAGTCGGCCCGCTGCTGGCGCGGCCGTAGCGTTGAGCTCGGGAATACTTGCGTTTCCGAAGCATTTCGTGACATTGGCGTTGCGGCATCGCGCAAACGGAGCGGGCCGCTGTGGGTGGTTCGGGACAGAGCTCTAACGCAGGCGCCTCGTCGGGCTTTCAGCGGCAACGTGACTCGCCTGGGGCGTCCATTGACTTTTTGCGAGGGCGCCTGCGGCGCCGCTGCTCGCGCGACGGCGCGCCTGCGTGAGATCTCCAAGGCGGCAATCGCATGCTCTGCCCGCTCGGCTTCCGCGCATGCCGCGCCCCGCCGTCGCGCGCGCGCGGCGGCGGGCGCTCCGCGGTGGGCAAGGGGGACATTCGGGTGCAACTGCGGGGATGTTTTGCCGTGGTAACATATGGTTATTGTTTATATTATTGCTCGGCTCGCCTCGCATTGACCGGGAGATTGAAGATCCCCGTGGCCCGTGATCGCGCCATCCTGGGGGCCCTCGTCCACAGCGTGAATTCAAGTCCGCGTCATGTTTCCAGTCGGGTTTGCAGCCCATACGGAGCTTGCCAGCGCTCGCTTTTCGGAGGGTCGTACCTGCGAGGTCGTCGAAACTCTCGTTCGGCCTGTCCGCTGCCAACCGAATTTCAGCTGCGATGGCAGCCGTCACCTGGCCCAACGCAGGAAACATCGTCATGTATCGTTTGTATGGTCTGGACCTGTCGGCTGATAGCTTGGCTTGGGACAACTATGCAAAATGACCAACATAATTGCCCAACCAAAACGTGTACATCCCCATACTTTCCTTGCGCATGTGGTATTTTCGACAGGACCTTGTGTATGATATGTCCCCTGTGTGTTGATAGATGGCCTGGCACCTGCGCGGAGTACATGTTTGATGTTCATATTACTTGATTATTGCCACTCGCGTCATCACCCCTGCCAGTATGCTTATTATTGTTCGCACCCCATATTATCATCATTATTACTACCTACAGCGATCTGAATGTGGTTATCATGTGCCCATAATGTCATTTCATGTTATTGGGCTTCTATGGCTGTACAACTTACCCGACGGCCCGGGCGCACCGAACGCTCCGAAACCAGTTGCGCCGACCCCTTTTCTTGAAGCGTGAAAAATCTTGAACCAATCGCCCGCAACGGCAGGAGGAAGGGTGATAACATGACGCAGGCAGGAGTGAACGTCACTGACTATCTGGCCAGACCCTGGAACCCTGCTGGCGAGGCGCAGCCGCTGAAGGCCCCTCCCCGCCAGGCTGGGAAACCGACGAGAGTTGTGGACAAACCCGATTACCTCGAATCCCGAGTTCCCCCCAAAACCGTCCCATATGGGATCGGAAAGTATGGGGTCGGAAAATCTTGCCGCATCGCCGCCGCATCGCCGACGCATCGGCCATGCAGCGGCGACGTCCGTGCGGGGAAGATTGAGAAGATCCGGCTCCACATCGGGCCGCATCGCCGATGCGGCGCGCCCTTCCGACCCCACCTGCTCGGACTCCACCTGGGATGCCTTGACACCCCCCCACACACGTTGCCCGGACGAGACGAACCCGCCCCCCCTCCCCGAACATTGCCCTTGAGGGAAGACGGTTGAGCAGGGACCGACCGTCCCGGCATTCCTATAGTCCTACCACGAAATGCTCTTAGAACCCAAAAATGTTCTAAGAACAAAAACGACATTCTTATACCATAAACCCGATGTGATCAAACAAGACAGACTCCGCCAGAAATGTTCTAAGAACGTGTCGTGGGAACCTCAACAAGGTTCTTAGAACACTGCTTGGCAGGGCTATAGGCGAGCCAGTACGCTTCGCCACTGCTTGAGACGGGAGGCTCCCGCGGGCGCAGGTGCGGGACGGCGCCTGGGCGTCCCCGCTGGCCGACTTGTCCTCCCCGGGCGGGCGGCACCGCGGGAGGTGGCGACGCGTTCCGAGTGGGCAGGCCAAGAGGGGAGGGAAGGGGGGGAGGAGCCCCTCCTCTGGTCTCCTCCTCCTCCTTTCCTCCTCCTTTTCCTCCTCCTTCTCCTCCTGCTCCTCCTCCTGCTCCTCCTCTTGCTCTTCCTCCTCGAGGAGGACCAGGAGGATCCTCCCCCGCGCCCTGCCCGTCCCCATTCCCCCCCGCTTTCCTCCTTCATTCTCGGCATCCTCCTCGTGCGCGTCGCTGGCGTCCTCCTCGCTCCTCCCCCTCGCCTTTCCGCGCGCGCCGCGACCCTCTGGTGGCGCCGGGGGCGTCGCTGCCTTTAGCCGCCCGATGGCGTCCATCACTCGCTCCAGGAGCTGGGTGCACTTGGCGGTCTTGTCTGCCAGCCTCCCCTGCAGCTCCTGCGCAGGGCGGCGGGACTCCCCTCCACGGGAGAGAGGGGCGGGGGGGACACGAAGAGCACCACGAGAGTACTGGCGGGCAGAGGTGGGCGGGGAGGAGGAGGAGAGAGGGTGTTGGGGTCTGCAGGGGGGTGCGGGATGGTACTGCTGCTGATGATGGCGGTGATGATGCTGATGCTGATGCTGATGATACTGCTGCTGATGCGGGGAGGGGGAGTAGCTCCTCCTCCACTTCTCCCCCTCCTCTTCCTGCTGTTGCTGCTGCTCCTTCTCTTTTGCGCATATTTCCTCGTCCTTGTCCTCCCCCTCCACCTTCCCCCCCCTCTCCTTGTAAGCACGGGGAGGGGGAGTGAGAGGGAACAAGGAAGGGGGGGACAAGGAGGGAGGGGCGGGTGAAATGATGCGCAAGACGATCATGCCGAGGCGGATGACGAGGACGAGGAGGAAGGCAGCGTGGAGGACGATGAGGAGCATGAGCTCGGGAACGCACATGGCATGGGCAGGAGGAGGCGCAGGGGATGAGCATCCAGACCACGACGCGGCGGGGGATGCTATTCATGCTGATGAGCCGGGGGGCTGCTGCTGCTGCATGCCCCCTCCCGCGGGCGCACAAGACACGGGGGGCTGGACGCCGCAGCGGCGGCACGACGACGCCTCCACCCGCCGCCGACACACCCGCCGCGGGCTGCAGAGGCCGCACCGCGCTCTCTCTGCTCCACCGCCGCTGCCTCCCGCAGGACGCCTGGTGGGCCTGTTTTCCACCACCACCATAAGTTGGAGGGGGAGGACGACGAGGAGGAGGAGGAGGAGGAGGAGGAGGAGGCGGAGGACCCCCTCCACCTCCAACTTGTGGTGGCGGTGGTGGAAAACAAGCCCTTCAACGCCGCCTCTGGCTTGTGGCGGCCGGGCCTGCAACGATATCGGCAGCAGGTGCAGCTACTCCCCAGCGCACGGCCGTCCCTTCCGCGTGAACGTTCTGGCTTCGCGCGTGTATTTTCTCGCAAGATGACCCTTGGGGACCCCAAAACCGTGCGGTGACAGACCGTGCGGTGACCTCGGAACCCCAAAAGGCCTCACAGCACGATCCGTCGCCGCACGGTCTTGGGACCCTGGACGCCCCAGTCGCCCGAGACGTCCTCGGAGAACGACCCAACCCCCAAAACCGTGCGATGATCCCAAATCCCACCGACTCACCACACGGTGTGGTCACCAACCCGTTTGGGGGTCCTCGAGACCCACGTGCTTCGGGTATCTGCCAACCCGGGTCTATCAGACCCGGGTCAGCAGGAAACCAAGGAACTGCAATGCAGGGACAAAAAAACTGCAACGCAGGTCTTCGCAAACCCGGGTCAGCCAACATGCGCGGCCGCCCCACGGCAACGAACGGCTCGCTGACCCGTGTCAGCCAGAAGGGGTCTTCGCAGGATCCTGCAGAATCCGGTGCCCTGGCTGATCCCCGTTTGCAATGACCCCCGTGTCTTTCGGGCCGGGCGAAAGGGGGGGATAGCAAAGGGGGGATTTGAGAAGCAGCTCACATAGCTGATTTTCCCGGCGCCGGGAGGCGCCCATGCATCGAGGAATGGGCCCGGCGGCGGGGCCGAAACCAGCTGCATGCAGCAGATTTCGTACCCCCCCCTTTCCTAATCCCCCCCGTTTGTCTGGCCAGAGGCTTGACCCCCGACGTGCTCCTCGATAGTCTTCGCCGGGAAAAGTGCACACGTCTCAGCGATGCCACGGATACGACTAGGTCGGGCATGTCCCTCTACAGGCGGGTTTTCGACGAAAAATAACAAAACAATGCTTCAAAAATATTCAGAAGATGGCCGAAAATACTCTTCAATATACTCCCCAGACTATTTATTGACTGTTTTCCAACATTCCTCCTGTAGAGGGACAGGCCCGACCGAGAAGGCCCACCCCGCTCGCCTCCCCGCGCGCCGCCGAGCGGAGGGGAGGCGGGCGAGGGAAGGAAGAGGGAGGCGGCAGGCGGGGTGGGGAAGGGGGGGGAGAACGGGGAGGTGGTTCGGCGACTCCAAAGGGTGTGGTTTGCAAAGGGTGCGGCTTGCAACCGGCACCCTGGGAAACATCCCGGGAGGCACCCTAGGGGGCGCGCGGGACCTCGATAGAGTTCTCCCGCGCCTCGAGGAGGCCCGACGAGGACAGCGTCGTGCCCCTCAAGCCCCAACGGTGCCGATCGCAAACCACACCCCGGCGTGAGCATACCCTTTGTAGTCGTCGAGTGGTAGAGGGAGGAGGGGGGAGTCTCTCCCCCTCGGTTAAATTGCATGGTCGGGGGACCTTGTCTGTCCCATCGCGCCGCGCGCCACTATCCGCGTCGAATCCGCGTCGGATACATGTCGAATCCGCGAATCCGCGCCGACTCCGCGTCGAAGTCATGCCGAAAACCCTTCGGGTATACTAGACGAGCGCGTTCCACGACTCGCAACGTATCGCAAATGGCCTGGATCCGCCGCGGGGGATCTATGATACATTACATCAAAGCAGACACTTGTTCATCGGACGTCTGCGAGTAGGCACTTTGCGAGTAGTGGAACGCGCTCGGTGATATACCCTCGCCACTCGAAGCGGTCCGACAATGACAGGTCGGGTCGGGCGAAAGGGGGGGATAGCAAAGGGGGGATTTGAGAATCAGCTCACGTAGCTGATTTTCCCGGCGCCTCCCGGCGCCGGAGGCGGCTATGTATCAAGGAATGGGCCCCTCTGTGAGGCCGAAACCAGCTGCATGCAGCAAATTTCGTAACCCCCCCTTTCCCAATCCCCCCCTTTCGCCCGACCCGAACAGGACAAACGAGATCCTCCGAGATTGCAACGCGAACTCGTGACATCGTGAGGCGCGCCGCCGAACAACGACCACTTGATCCGAAAGCTGCGCTCGCCGTGACGACCCCTCCGCGGGGCGAGGCCCTCGCGGCGCCGTGGTACCGACCGGCCCGAACAGGGCGGCCGGCCTGCATCCAAGGCGAAGGGGGGGGACTGCAAACCGCGCCCAGGCCTCCTCCTGCTCCTCCTGCTCCTGCTCCTCCTGCTCCTGCTCCTCCTGCTCCTGCTCCTCCTGCTCCTGCTCCTCCTGCTCCTGCTCCTGCTCCTGCTCCTGCTCCTCCTGCTCCTGCTCCTGCTCCTGCTCCTGCTCCTGCTCCTCCTCCTCTCCTCCTCCCTCTCGTCCTCCTTCTCCTCCTCGCCCTCCTCCTCCTCCTCCTCCTCCTCCTCCTCCTCCTCCTCCTCCTCCTCCTCCTCCCCCTCCTGCTGACTACACGCGATCGCAAGTTACCAGGACGGCACGAATGCACCGTACCATGTCTGGACTCCCTTGAGGCCACGGTTCAAAGCGGTAATCGGTGCACATAGTGGCTCCGCTCTGCGGGACTAGGGAGCCGTGCACCGTGCCAATCCTGGCCCGAAAATCGACGACGCCTCGGGAGACGCCAACGCGCGACGGTGCACGCAAATCGTCCGCGGACGGACGGCTCCCCCATTTGTGCGTGCGACGAAACTGCGACCGGGACAAAACCGGAGCGGGACAGGTCCGGGATCTGTGAGGATCTCCAGCTCTGGAGGATGTGTCGGGCGCGGCGCCAGTTCCGAAGCGCTCGTAACGCTCCGAGGGCGAGCCGGAGCGCCCTGGTACGACCTCTCCCAATCCTGGGCACGCCCGATCCAGGAGGAGGAAGAGGAGGACGAGGTGGAGGAGGAAGGGAGGAGAGGGCGGACGAGGAGGAGGGGGAGGAGGAGGAGGAAGAGGAGTAGGAGGAGGAGGAGCAGGAGGAGGAGGAGGAGGAGGAGGAGGAGGGGGAACTGTGGGAACTGTGTATGAGCGACAACAGAAGTCCGAAGGGAGCATTTCGGAGAATAAGTGCCACGGAAAGGGACAAGGGCAAGTCGTCTGGCCACTCGCGGCCGCCTTCGGAGGAGGAGGTGGAGGAGGAGGAGGAGGAGGAGGAGGAGGAGGAGGGGGATGAGGAGGAGGAGGAGGAGAAGGAGGAAGGAGGAGGAAAAGGGGGAGGAGGAGGGAGGAGGAGGAGGAGGAGGAGGAGGAGAGAGGAAGAGGAGGAGGAGGAGGAGGAGGAGGAGGAGGAGGAGGAGGAGGTGGAAGAGGAGGAGGAGGAGGAGGAGGAGGAGGAGGAGGAGGAGGAGGCCCACGCAGCGCCTGGACCGAGGACTGGAGGGCAATAGCGCCCTCGAAGCCACGCCTGTCGGGCGAACCCACCAGCGCGCGCCTGCTGCGGGAGCACCTGGCTGCTGCGCGGCAAAGTGAAGGCGTGGTGCGCGCACTCGCGAAAACGGCGCGTGTGGCGGCGCGGGGGCGGCTTGGTGGGCCGCTTCCCAGGCCCGCTTGGACGCCCGTCCAGGCGCGCCTGATTAGTTGGGTGTAAGCAATCGGGTAGCCTGCCGCGCGCCCGGCCCTCCCCCCCCGCCCCCTCGCCTCCCCTCCTCCTCCCTTTCCCCTTCGTCCTCCGCCACATGGCTTCGCTAGATGGTAAAACGTGCCGCACAGACTTTTGTATCTTCTGGAGTGGAGGCGGCCAGGACGCGGGGCCAGAGCAGGCGGGGCCGGAGCGTGCGGGGTCGGATCGGGAGATGCGGCGCGTGTCCTTGGCCCACGGCGCCCCCAACAATTCTCGCTCCACGCTGGAGCCACCGGAGCCCTCCAGGCCACGATGGGGCGCTCTAGAGTCGAGAAGCTGTATATACATAAACTTTTGGCGCTCCGCGCGGATTTTTTGGATTCGCGCTGTGGCCCCCTCCCTGGCGCGCGGGGCGCGCCAGGGGCGGCGCTGCAAGGGGGGGCCATAGCGTGAAATGCCAAAACTTTCTCTTCATGCCGTTTTTTCTTCTTCGATAGAAACCCCCTCCTCAGACCCCCGACGTCGTGATCTTTTCATGACGTCAACCCCAAACGCCTCGACCCATTTCCCAGGGCTGGTTTTTCATCCCGAGTCGCTCGTTCACGGCCCCGAGGCCTGGGAGGGCCCCCCCCCCCGAGGCCGACCGTAGCGAAAAGCACCCCGTCGTATTTTGCTGTAGTTGTTGTTGGTTCTTTTGCCCGGAGTGAACACCTGGGCGACGCGACCCGAAGGGAGGTGCCCAAGTTGCCTCCATGGATTCACATGCAGTCGGAGGACCTCGCAACATGAACGGCGGAACAGACCCGCCCCTTGGCGTCACATCTGCGCCGCCATTGCGAAACGCCTCGAGATCCCACTCCGAGACACGGCCACCGACACCACCCCCACTTGGCCGCTGGCCTCTAACCGCGGAAACCCCGCTGCCCAAAAACTTCGGTTCCCGCGCCCCCCACGTCCGGGGACCCCTGCGAGTAACCCTATCGGGCCTCTCAGGGGTGGTACGGCGGGCCCGCACCTACTGTGGCTGGCCAACCACAGGGCAACAGTCTCCCCCACAGCCCCGTCGAGCTGTGGTGACGATCGGGCTGCCAACCCACCTGTTCTCCTGGGGCGCCACGAGGGCACCTAGCGGCGCGGGTGCCTTTTGATGACGCGAGGGTGTCTGGGTCTTCCTCCCAAGAAACCCTGCGGACTCCTCAGACCTCCAGAAGCGCCCGGCAGGTGGAGTCGCGAGGGGCCGGGCCGCGCAACATCGCTGTGGGCCTCTGCGACGGGGCGGACGCACGAAGCCTTCCTCGTCCGCCCTCCTCCTCCTCCTCCTCCTCCTTCTCCTCCTCCCCCTCCCTCCTCCTCCTCCTTTTCCTCCCTCCTCCTCCATTATCCCTTCTCCTCCTCCCCCTCCTCCTCCCCCTCCTCCTCCCTCCCTCCTCCCCCCTGTTCCCTCCTCCTCCTCCTCCTCGGACTTCGGCGTGCCCTCGAGATGCCGATAGTGAGGAGGACGACGAGGAGAGGAGGGGCGGACGAGGTCGAGGAGGGGAGAAGCATGATGATGAGGATTAGGACGCGGACGATGTGGGGACGAGGAGGATGGGGGACAGGGGACGTGGATACGGAACAGGACACCGACGATGGGAAGGAGCAGACAAAGTAACATATTAGTTTACTAATAACCATAACCAAAATACACCCCAGTTGGCGTACTAATGGTAAGGGAATTCCGCAAGGCTACAAACCACGATCAACGCGGGAGTGAACCGACGAGGATGAAGAGGGCAAGAGGGACGATGGTGGGGAAGGAGGAATGCAAGACGAGCATGCGGAGAACAGCAACTCGGGGAGGTTCGGGCCGATGAATGTGTGTAACACAATACCATGAATCGTATCGACGTCCAGAACGAATGCACAACAAACACATATTCAATAATACGAACGATCATCGACATGGCCGGACTCGTGAACGCGCATATCATAAACAATCAATCAGCAAACCATCATTTGAAATTAAAAACGATTTCTACTGATAACGTCGAATGGCCGAATCTTATGTGGACACAGCAACGGAAACACATACCGCCATACACACAAACAGAAATTCCATTAACATGCTGGAGAAGACCGATAACCTCTCATCTTCCTCATCCTCCGGTAGTCAAGCTGCAGAGATGGAGGTCCTTGTCCCTGTGCTCCGCCATCTTAGCCCTGGCGCCACGGCTAGCACGAAAGATGCACGTGCACAGTGGAGGGACCCGTGCTCTCATCGCTCCATCGCGTACGAACTCTTGCTCTGCGCCTCACGGCTCTAATGGCCAACAGGCGCCCGCACAACGCACGACGATCTCGCAACGCCTTTCCAAAAATAATCGCTCCACAGGCGCGCCCTGCCTTTCTCGAAGAAACTCCAGTGCGCGACTGCATGCCGTGCCTGCCCACAAGTATAGTCGCCGAGAGGTGCGCGGAGAGGATGCAAGGCCCTTGGTAGTCCAAGCTGCAAAAACTTTGAAGGACTGGCCAACGAAAATGGCCGAGGACGGGCTGGACAAACACGGATGCGAGGGCACGCTCGGAAAGAGCACCTCCTTCTCACCGTAGGCACCGACCGTATGAATTCGCGAGCGAGCGAGGGAGCCGCGCGTGGCCTTCGAACACACGCGTCCACACGTACGTGCCTCATGGTCAAGGATGGGCCAGAAAAGAAGGAGTGGATGCGAAGGGACTCCCCAGAAACAGGGGAACAAAAAGTGACATAAACATAAAAACTCGGAGGTCCTCGCGGATTTCTCGGATCGGCGCTGGGGCCCCTCGGCGGCGCCTCCGGCGCCGCCCCTGGCGCGCTCCGCGCGCCAGGGAGGGGGGTCCAGTGCCGATCCGAGAAATCCGCGCGGACCTCCGAGTTTGTATGTTTATGTAACTTCTTGCTCCCCTAAAGGATGGGCCAGAAACGAAGGAGTGGATGCGAAGGGCCCCCCCATAAAGAACACCACGCTCTGGCCCTCTTGCCACGAGCACCGGCTGCACGAGCTCTCGAGAAGGGCGAGAGGGACCGGGAGCCGTGCGTGGCCTCCGAGCGAGAACGACCACGCACATATGTGCACAAGCTCGAGGACGCGCCAGAAAGGACGGCGAGGAGGCGAGGGGGGGCACCCTCAGAAAGAACACCCCGTCACTAGGGGAACAAAAAGTAGCATAAACATAACAACTCGGAGGTCCGCGCGGATTCCTTGGATCCGCGCTGGACCCCCCTGGCCGCGCCTCCGGCGCCGCCCCTGGCGCGCGGAGCGCGCCAGGGAGGGGGGGTCCAGCGCCGATCCGAGAAATTCGCGCGGACCTCCGAGTTTTCCCTTAGAGGAGGCGAGGGGGGCACCCTCAGAAAGAACAACCCGTCACTGCCACGGGCACTGCCCGTGGGAGCCCGTGGGCGAACGAGAAAGACTGGGGTCAGTGCGTGGACTCAGACCGAACGCGTTCATACGTGCTGTGCACACGCTTGCCGGCCGCAATCTCTCTGGGGGGCGCGGCCGCGGACGTGGCCAGCGCATGGCCGAGGCCCCGGGAGCGCAGCCCCATTGAACGCGCGTGGTCGTAGTCATCCCGCCTTCCCTCTCTCCGCCCCGCCATCCTATACGATAAGGTTCAGGAGGACGTGAGGGCGCAAAGGGAGGATGAGGCGGGGGGGGGATGCGGAAAACCAGGGAGGGCGAGGCGTCGTCGCTGGTCCTAGTGTGAAGCATGTCAAGTGTCTGCTGCCACGTCACCCACTTCCAGCCGAACGCCAGCATCTTGCCACCCTCCTGAGGGCGAGGAGGTGCAGGAGGGGGGGGCGAGGGGACAAAGAGCCTACGTCTCCCAACACTTAGAAGAACAACCGGCATAAACATAAATGTTTGGCGATCCGCGCGGATTTCTTGGATCCGCGCTGGACCCCCCTCCCTGGCGCGCTCCGCGCGCCAGGGGCGGCGCCGGAGGCGCCGTCGGGAGAGCCCAGCGCGGATCCAAGAAATCTGCGCGGAGCGCCACAAGTTGAAGTTTATGTGCTTTTTGCTTCTTCGAACACTGGGACGCCAGCAGGGCAGAAGCATGAACCTCGGACGGTGGTAGAAGGGAAGACTTCCGCCGGCGCTGGGCCCCCTCCACGCACTTCCTGGGCGGCGCACTCGGCGCGCGGCGGGAGTGGTTACCTAATTACCAGACCACCTCAACCCAACCCGAAGACACGAATTTGACTCGAATGTCGGGTTGGGGGGGGGCTCGGGCTTCATTTGTGTTTTTCAATGTTACCTCCCCCCCACCGGAAATGGAGGGCAAATCGGGGCCTTAGGGTTGGGTTGGGGTGGTTTGGTGGGCGGTGAGGGAGGGCGGTCCAAGAGGGACCTCCCAGGGGTGTGCGGAGGAGGTCGGGCGCTGGCGGAACCTGCCGCCCGCGGATGTCCGAGGCCTTTTTTCTTGTTGTTTCTAGGCATTTTCTAAGGGTCGAGGGCTCAGGTTGAAATCCTTATGGACTTTCACACCTCGAAAGTCAATCCGTCTTGTGGTTCATTCACCCTTTGCAGATGCAGATTCAAACCTCAAAAATCTACCGAAACGGCATTTCAGATTTCACTCTTTGCCCTCCACCCAAAGACAATGCTCGGTGTATGTGCTCCGCTGCCCTCCCCCTACATTAGACAAGCGTGATCAACCACTCGCAGAGCAGCTACTCGCAGATGACCTGGATACGCCGCGGAGGGCCTACGCCCCATTGCACATGGGAAGACATTGTTGTCGGACGTTTTCGAGTAGGCACTTTGCGAGTAGCTGGACGCGCTCGGTAAAACATGGTCCCTCCTCTTGCTTCCGCTGCTGCTGATAGCGCAGCCATCCTGCTGCTTCTCTGTTTCTTCATGTTCCTTCTCTTTATTCTCCGCCTGCTCATCCACCAGCTCCTCCTACTTCTCTACCTCGCTTTACCTCCTCCTCCTCCTCCTCCTCCGCCCCCCCATTCCATCTCCTCCTGATCGTCCTGCCCGTGTTCCTCCATCCACCTCCTCCTTCCCCTCCTCTCTCCCGGAACATCATTCCGTCCTCCTCCTGGTCATGTACTTCTTCCTCATTGTCCAACTCCTCCTCCTCCTCCCTGTCCCCCCCGTTCTCCTCCCACTCCTCTGCGGGTATTGGCATGCGGTGAATGTTGGGGGCACGATCAAAATCTAGGCGGCTACCAACTATGCACTTAGGCGGATGTGATCGGTGGTGCTTGCCTTTTTCTCGTCTGCTCTTGCAGGTGTGTCGGTCAGGGCCAAGACTGTTTTGGAAAACGACCGTGTCTGGCGCAGCATGGTTGCAACCGCCCTGGCTTGGGTCTGTGCCGTGTGGCAAACAACTACTAAACCCCCTCCAGCCCTCGCCTTGCTCATCCTGCCCGAACTCCGCAACAGGTGGATGGCTGTGTCGCAGGAAGGACTGGTGTGGTCAAGGTCCCGTGGCTCTATTCGTAATATGCTGTTGTCACTTAGGCGCATCGGCTGGTCGGCCACCAACCCCCCCTTGTACTGGAACGCGGATCGTGGAATTCACGTATCGCCGTTGTAGCACTCCCCTGCTATGCTCTCGGCGTTGCTTCAGGACGGGGTCCAGAAGCATCATGAGAGGGTCCTGGCGGCCAAGCTGGTCTGGACGGACGGGGAGAGGGTGTTTGTTGATCCCGTTAGGCGTATCACTAAAGCTAGAAGTAAATGGGTATGCCCTACTGTGACGGGTGTTGGGCCGAGGATCGTGCGGCCGATGCCAGCTATGTTTGCCAGGGACTGTGCCGCCTGTGTGGAGAGCCCGACTCCATTGGCCGTTGTATCTTAAATTGCGTGGGCAGCCCTGAAGTTCGGGCCGTTCGGGAAGCCGCTGGGGCCAATGATATGTTCTGTCCTCGAGCCCAGAATCGCAACGGTGAGTTCTACACGGGACTCAGCTTACGCCACCCTGCGACTACATGGCCAACACCTGGCGACGAGCACGAGCCCATCCTTTTTGCCGAACGCAGGTCCCAGCAGCAGCGAAATGCCCCCAGCTGTACCGAGCACGCCGAGTACCCCCCCTTCTCTCCCAGGCGCCGAGCCCTCGCGGCGCGACGCAGCGAGAGCGCACCGATCGCTCCTTTTCTCGTGCGGGCTCGTCCCTCCTCCTGGCGCCCCTCTGGCCATCTGCCTGCTCCCTCCTCCTCCTCCTCCTCCTCCTCCTCCTCCCCTTGGCGGACCTTGACACAACATGTTTGAACGTCCCTGGGGATGGGCCCTGCGTCCCTCGTACCATCACAGAGCTATCGAGAGCATCCCACGCGTGGGTCGTCACGAGTCCCAGCGGGCTGCAAGTAGCCGCGGCCAAGGGCACGGTGTGACCCTCGCTGCCACGAGCGAGCCAAGCAGCGGATAAGTTGCAGCTTGGCAGTCTACCGACCTTCGTTTCCAGGCACGGTGGTTCTTGTTCCAGTGAGTGTATGACTGCGATGCGGCTGCACAATAGCACAGCTCAGACGACATCGCATCATAAGCATAGGTATTCTGGACTTCCACAGGGAGCGTTGCAGCACAGGAGCATTGATCAGTATGCCGCAGCTGTATCCACTACTGCCCACAGAGGTTTAAGTGACATAAATGCTCCCCCTATCCCAGCGTCCTGGATCGATCAGGCCAGGTGGCGAGCGGACAAGGATGCCAAGCAAACGAATGTGATGCACCCCCAGCCGACTCAGAGCGAGCGGGGTGCAGCTAGCAACTCGATCAAAGAGATCGAAACGGTGGCAAGACTCGCGGCGGGGTTTCTCCCGCTGTTCCTGATGGTCATACACGAGCGGCCCCCGAAGCGTGAGCATACGGTCAAACTTTTTACGCGTGATGAAGGCTGGCACTTTCGAGAACCATGGCTATGGGGACATCAGTGCGCCAGATGCCGAAACGATTTCACCGCAGATGTGGCCCAAAGACCTGAGGTGGGTTGATCGGGATCTCACGCGTGAGTGAAGGGGCTCTTGATCTCATGCCCCGACCACGGCCACCAACTGGCCAACGCCCGAGTTGAGGACCTGGGGAAGTCGTTGCGTCTCTGCATCCTGTGAGGGTATTTCGCACAACGCAGACGTCGTGTGTTGGGCAAGCGTTGTGAGCGTCCCCGTAACGGAGAAGATAAGGGCAACACTGGCGCTGTTTGAGGAGGAGGCTGCGCCCGGAAGAACCGCGGGTGGTCACATGTGCTGCCCATGAAGGCTCGACGTCCACCCTTCAGAAGCAGGCGAGCATGCCATGCTGCTGTCATGAGGCCGCAACTGATCCAGGCTTCACCCGCTCCCCTTGACAGGCCAACTGCTCGGCTTGCCCAGCATGCCGAGGCGGAAGCTGCTGGTCGGGCGGGGGGGGGGGGGCGGGGGGCCGTGCGGTACAGCAGAGTCTCGCGGCCGAGGACGGTGCTCGGGAGGTGAAGCCACCCGAGGCCGGGCCGACGGTGCGAGCGCACGCTCGTGAGGCCAAGCGTGTGGAGAAGTCTGAGGCCGAGGACGAGGCCACCAGTTTGCTTCTTGTGCCCCTCCCCCCTCCAGACCCAGTAGGGAGGTGCTTCGCGGTGCGGCAGACGCACTCCGACAGGAAGAGGACGAGCCGCCACTTGCCGCTGCTCGAGACGACTCGAGCGGTGAGGAGTCGGTCTGAGTGCCCTGGGCCCTAACTGGTTCGGTCAACGGTGACCAGACGATCTTCCTCAACCCTGCCACTCTTCTTGCGCAGGCCAGGATGCGCACGCGCACGCCTGGCACGCCTGTAGCGCCAGCAGGGGCACGGCTGCCTGGGCGAACCATGCCACAGCAGGTGCAGCCGAGAGTGGCGCAGCCAGCAACGAGGGAGCACGGGGAACGACAGCATGGTGGTGGAGCAAGAGTCCGTCCTGCCACTCCTTATGCCCTGCCCTCTTCCTTTGCCCTCCCTCATCCTCATTCCTTTGCCCTGCCCTCTTCCTTGCCATGCCCTCGTCCTTTGCCCTGCCACTCCTTATGCCCTGGCCTCTACCTTGGCCCTGCCCTCTTCCTCCTTCGCACTCCTTTCGCCCTGCCTCCAACCCTCGGGCGTTTCCGACGGTGTCCCTGGCTAAGGCGCCCCCAGAAGTAGGCCGGGCGTGTCCCCCTACAGGCGGATTTTGGACGACAAATAAAACATACCCAAAAATAATCAAAGATCCGGGTGTTCTCATCTGTTCGTCTTCCCGACGCTCGACGGCCCACGAGGCCCAATACATCGCCCCAAGACGGCCCAAGAGGCCTCCAAGAGAGCCACAAGATAGCCCAAGAGGGCTCCAAGACGGCCCAAGAGGACTTCAAGACTGCCCAAGATATCTCCAGCACGGCCCCACGAGGGAGCCAGACGTGGAACCCGAACAAGCACTTCGAGCGCTTGGCCCCAGGAGGCGCCCAGGAAGCTTCAAGAAACCTCCAGCAGCACCTCAAGAGGCTCCAAGAGGCCGCCAAATAGGCCCCCCAGAGGCCCCCCGGAAGCCCTAAAGAGGCCCAAACGGGACACCCAAGATGGCTTCCCGATGGGTCACGACAGGGCCCCGAAGAGACTCCCAAAAGCATGCCTGAGAAGTCAGACCCACAACCCACGCACAGTGGCGGCAGGGGCCGAAGGCTCGTACATCTGAGCACCACTCTGCTGAGATGGCTTCCCGACGGGTCGCGACAGCGCTCCGAAGAGACCCCAAAGAGCATGCCTCAGGAGTCAGACCCACAACCCACACACAATGGCGGGATGGGCCGAAGGATCGTACATCTTAGCACCACTCTGCTGAGATGGCTTCCCGACGGGTCGCGACAGCGCTCCGAAGAGACCCCAAAGAGCATGCCTCAGGAGTCAGACCCACAACCCACACACAATGGCGGGATGGGCCGAAGGATCGTACATCTGAGCACCACTATGCTGAGATGGCTTCCCGATGGGTCGCGACAGCGCTCCGAAGAGACCCCAAAGAGCATGCCTCAGGAGTCAGACCCACAACCCACACACAATGGCGGGATGGGCCGAAGGATCGTACATCTGAGCACCACTATGCTGAGATGGCTTCCCGATGGGTCGCGACAGCGCTCCGAAGAGACCCCAAAGAGCATGCCTCAGGAGTCAGACCCACAACCCACGCACAATGGCGGGATGGGCCGAAGGATCGTTCTAACCTTGTCGGCTTCCCGACGCTCCAAGACATCCCCAGAGGCATCCGAGATCGCCCCAAGACGGCCCAAAAGGCCCCCCAAGGGGGACCCAGAACGGCCCAAGGGGGCTCCAAGACGGCCCCAGAGGCGCCCAAGATCGCCCAAGAGGGCCCCAAGACGGCCCCAAGAGGGGGAACACGAACCACCAATTCGAGCCTTCCGCCCGAAGAGGCCCGCAGAATGCCCAAAGAGGCCCCCAAGAGAGCCCAGGAGGCCCCCGGGAGGCCCCACGAGGCTCCCAAGAGGTCCAAAAAGAGGCCCAAGAGGCCCCCACACGGCCCCCAAGAAGCCCCAAGAAGCCACGAACGCGCAGGCAAACGACTTCGATGGCACAATACGGGCCGGCTGAATGAGCGAAGCGATCTAATACAAAACAAATACGGAGAAATAGTCCAACAATCGTCCCCTGACTACTTTTTGACTACTTCTGAATGTTCCTCCTGCAGAGGGACCAGCCCGACTTCACCCCAGAATCGCCAGGGAGGCTCCCAGTGTCCTCCAAAGGGCACCCATCGTGAGGCTCTCAGGTTCCCCGTGGCTCCCAGCTGGTGTGCGAAAAGCTGGGGGCACCTGGTGCCAGTCGGGGGCGCGCAAACATGGATCGGGGGAGGTGCCCTCTCCAAAATGCGGCCGGTGCCGCTTCGCTCGGCGACGGCAATCCGTGTGATTTCCCACGGAAACGGGACCCGTCGCTGATCCACGCCCCCTCGACCCATGCTTGCGATCGCCGGGGCCAGGGCCACCGCCGGCAACCTCCGGGTCCCCCTGCCCGTCCTCCCCCTGCCCAGCCTCCCCCTCCCTCCCACCCCCCTGAGAGGGAACGGTAAAGGGGGGAGCAGCTCAGGGGGTGGAGACATCGACCTGGATTAGGCGATACATCGCCGATGGAAGATGGATCGACGATGAGCCCCCGATGGCGAATCCGAACGTCGTCATCTTAGGCAGCGTGGGCTGTCGGGCCACGATCGCAGCTCTACGGGCCATTGGGGGGTCGATGCGTTCCCCTGAGCCTATTCCCCCCCCCGGCTCGTTGCCCTCTGGCTCTCGGGAAATCACTCGGCTCTCTGGCGGCCGTTTGTGACGACACGGGCACCCCTCGGGTCGAGGCGCGGCCGCTGGAAGGCACTCCGAGGCCGGAACGCCGACGAGATCCGACGGAAACGACCGAGGACCTCGAGCATTGAGAGTCCGAAACGCTCTCCCCCACCTCCGATCCAGGATTGGGGAGACCAAAAGGTGCCTACTGCCACTCCTCGGACCTCTTCCAAGGTGCGTTCTGACCAGAATGTCAGGGCGAATCCAACCGTGGCGACGAGGGCCTCCGAGGATGCCTACCAAAGGGATAAAAAGAGCGAAGGCTAGCGGTGTGGGTACCTTTTCCTCCTCTGAAGGATGGGGGGGGCCTGGGTCACTATGCTGGCGAAGTCGGAATGGGGCAGCCCGCGGCACGCCACCTGTCGCACATAAGCGGGGGGGGCGGGGGGCAGCGGCGATGAGGAGGCGTTGCGCGCGCCGCCGGGCCTCACGCGAAGGGGATCGCTCCTCCTCCTCCTCCTCCTCCTCCGCCTCCTCCTCTTGCTCCCAGCTGGAGAAGGGCCGGGGAAAGAGGAGTAGCGACGAGAAAGACGAAGAGGAGGAGGCGAAGGAGGAGCAGGAGGATGGGGAAGGGGAGGGCCACGTTCGACGAACATTGCGGCTATCAGGAATCCGGCAGCAGGGGAAGAGAAGCGGATAAATTAGAAACAGAGGTGGGAGGAGAAGGAGGAGAGGGTGAGGGTGGGGTAAATATAACGTGCGCTGGGGTGGGCTGCTCCCTTCCACAAATGATTCCCACCTACAGAACCAATAATGGCTGATTCTTGCGACCAGGCCTTCACAACTGATGTCCCCACTGCAATGTCGGCCACATTTTAACAATGCCACGGCACTTTCGTTCAACGGGATGGCACTCTAGGCGCATGGCTGATCGTTGCCATATCCATCTTGCGTCCGTCTGTCATCCAGCAGTTGCTGCTCCGCCTCTTCTTCTCGCGTTCCACCACTGCTCATTTGCCGTCGTCGTCGTCGTTCTCGTCGTCGGTCAGCCAGGCCCTTCGTCTGTGACGTCGCCCAGATGTTTGACTGGCTTCGATGCCCCCCATGCGCCCCACAAAGGAGTCTTATCTACTGATAAGGAGCGCCTACTTGCTGGCTCCACTTGTGAGAAGCTGCGCGCGCTCGGGGCACCGCTCTCAGGCAGGCGGCCTCGCCTGGCATCGGATCAAGACTTCGATGCGAATCTGCGTTACATCGTGCTAGGCTGTGAAGTGCTATGCGGTGGTGTGCTGCTGCACGTGGTGGCGGCAACTTGCCATACTGTAAAATAAGGTGCTACCGCAGGCTTTGCGCGTTGGTCCGATGCCTCACAAGGTGGCATGCCGATATGCGATCCGATACACCATGCCATTCAGTGGCATGTGATGCTGTGAGCTGCTGTACTCTTTTGGTGAAACACAATACGCATTGCTATGCTATGCGGGTCAGTGTTCCACAGCGCTGCTGCGCCATGACATGATGCCGCAATATGCTCTCCCTTGCGTGGCACCTTCTTGCGCTGCGCCTCCTGTGTGCCTGAATCCGAAAACATGCCCGTGCTCGATATAACGCTGGATTGCCTGCCAAGGACGCGAGCGGCTGCCGGCCAGCTCGCACTGCGCCCGCAACGGACTTCCTCTCCTTCCCCCCTTCCTGTCCGAGCCAGCCGTGTTCCTCCTCTCCTCCTGCTCCTGCGCTCCCTCCGCGTCCCAATCGTCGCAGTCCACCCCGGGGACCTACTGCCATTCGTTCCCTTCGTATGGTTGATCTTATTATCTGAATCCTTGCTTCTACTCACAAGTACGGCCTGTCCTTCCTCGTCGACCGCCTCAATTTGGCCTCCTCCCCCCTCCGTCCTCGATCCGTCGCTAGTCCACACGCCTCAATCCATGCTTGCGCTTCCGGGTCCGCGAATCTGGTCCCTTCCTTTCTCACCTCCCTCTTCCCTGCCTCCCTCCCTCTGGGGAACATCGAAAGGCACCGATTCCGCTACTCCCCAGACCTCTCCTGGGGTGCGTTCTGATCATGATTTCGAGGCGAATCCAGCAGTGGCGACGAGGGCCTCCCAGGATGCCCAACAAGGGGAAAACGTGGGAAGGGTGGAGGTATGGGTACCTTTTCCTCCCTCCCGCGTCCCCGCCCCCCCTCACCCTATGGCGACGATATCTAGCCATATCCACTGCTCCCGGCCAGGCCAGTCCTGGGCCCAAGAGCTGTGTATACGCCCTCCTGGCTTGGCCAGGGAGGCATATACACCGCTCCTGGGCCCAGGATGGGCCTGGCCGGGAGCAGTGGATATGCACAGATCTCGTCGCCCCCTCACCCTCCCGCCTCCACGGTGTACAGGTGATACATGGTGACCTCGCGAGCAGCGCGGCGCGCCCGGGAAGCACCGCCGGCGGGCTCGTCGGCGGCAGGCCCGCGGAGAAGGCACGGGGCGGCAAGGTAGATGGTGATGGGCAAATGTTCCACCACCACTACCATATGTAGGGCGGGGGGGAAGGCAGGATGAGGAGGTCCTCCTCCTCCTCCTCCTCGTCCTCCTCTTCCTCCTCCTCTTCCTCCTCCTCCTCCTCCTCCTCCTCCTGCCTCTCCTACATATGGTAGCGGCGGTGGTGGAAAATAGGCCCATCAGATGGGGGGGGGGGACCGAGGGGGGGGGGGGGGAAACGACATTTGCTGGGACGCACAGAGACCTACTAGTGCTATCTGTTCTCCTTGGAGGCGCGTGTCCGACCCGACCATGTAGTATACCCACCTTGTAATATCTATTTTCCCGAGCGGTGTGGCCAGAAAGCACCGGCCACGACGCATATACTACGATTTCTCGGTGCGCGCGTCGCCCCTGAGGGGGCGACGCACATATAGTATAAGTATGTTGGGGTGACGCCGATTTGCCGGCGCCCACAAGGGGGTGGCGTGGAGGGGTTGGACGGGGTGGCCTTCAAAAAAGGAGGCGGGGCTGCTGCAGTAAAAGCTTGACCGCAAGAAGAAGCCTTCCACCAGAAACCCAGCACTGAGACCCTAGGACAGCCACTGACTTTCGTTGTGGGAATGTCACGCTTTCCATGACAAGACCACCGAAACCCACGAAACCCAAGGAACCCTGGAGGCAAGCAGGTGCTTCTTGACATGGGCTTCCACTGTACGAAGCCTTCCCAAAAGCCTCCCAGGCCTTCTAAGACTGCTCCTGCCTTCTAAGAAACCACTCCGCTTGCTCAGTACGCCACCGGGCCACCCCTCTCGCGGCACCCTATTTTGTGTCTGCCGCCACGCAGGAGGGGAACACGTCGAGCTGAAGTGGCCGATCCATCGACGCAACATCGAAGCGAACGCTTCCTTGGAAGGATGGGATATCAGGCCCCGACTGTCAGGTCGGACATGTCCTCCTACAGGCGGATCTTGGAATAAACATAAGAGATAGCCAAACGATAAGCAAACATAGCCGAACAAGTACGAAGAACCGCAACTTAACTAGTATTGTTTAAGGTGATTGAACTCTCCTCCTGTGAAGGGACATGCCCGACTTGATCCTGTTGGCGCTTACTGGGCGACTCGGGGTCGCCGCGCTGCCCAAGAGCCCATCCGTCCCTGGCGTTGCCCCCGGGCTCGAGGATCCAAACACGGTCGGTTCGTGTCGTGCCAGCCCGGGCGCTGGTTTCTGACACCAGCCTGGATCGTTCAACCTTGAACGATCGGCCGTTTCCGAAACGTCCAAGTCTTTCCACATCGAACGATTCCGGGTCGCCCGCGGCGTCCTGGCGGGAGCGCCGCTGGTCGACACGACACGAACCCATCGTACAGCAGTCCAAGCTCCACTTCCAGAGGCTTGGCCCAATGGTGACGCCCCTCCCGTGTTGCCCCACGTGGGGCTTCAGCGACGCCCCCCCCCCGTGTGCCCGAAATGGTTGCATTAGCTTCCTCTGCTATTGCAATGGCTTTCTCGGTTGATCCAGTGACTTCCTCTGCTATTGCAACGGCTGCATGTGCCTATTCCAATGGGCGCCCCCAACAATGGTCAAGCTCAGACGGAGAGTAGACTAGAACAAGAGTGGGTAATGATCTGCGAGTGGAGCAGACCAGCATATAGGGGAGTAGAATCGGGCAGAGTAGATAAGAGTAGAGTATGAGTAGAGCAGAAGAGAGAATAGCAATCTCAGGGACGAGAAGAGTATATGAGTAGAGTAATAGAGTAGAGCATCCGCCACCGTGCCTCAAGAGTGGGTGTGTTTTGAAGTCCCTTGCCCAATCCTCTAAGCTTCAATCCTCACCCCTGGGGAATATTCAAGGGGCCCATACCCCAAATTCCGAAGTCTACCAGGGCTTGGCGCGGCTCTCCTGGTAGCGTGAATTGTTCGGACCCCAGAGGGCCCCAGGGCGGGCCAAGAGTGTTCCAAGAGCCCCCCGAGACGGCCCACGAGGGCCCCGAGACGCCGAACGACCGCTCCAAGACGCTCAAGATGGCCCGAAGACGGCCCGGCCTCCAAGACGCCTCAAGAGGCCTCCAAGAGGCCTCCCAAGATGTCCCCAAGAGGCCCAAATCATTGATGCTCCTTGGTTTTTGAAGGTGTTCGTCGTTCTCCCCGTTTCGGCTTCCCGACGCTCCCATGCGGCGCTAGAGGCCCCCCGAACCGCCAAGAGGCCCCAAGAGGCGCCAAGAAGGACCCAAGAGGCCCCCAAACGAGGTCCCCAAGAGGCCCAACAGAGTCCCCAATGCGGCCCCCAAGAGGCCCCAAGAAGGGCACGCCATGGCAGCAAACCGTGGCACTGCGAGAAGGTAGCAGTGCGGGAGCTAAGGTCACCAACTACAAGATTTGATCAACTCGTGCGCGAGATGGCCCGGGAGCGGCCGTGCACGGCAGGGTTGCAAATCGTCGGGAGCTCAGTAGAAGACCTCGTGTACGAAGTGGGGGGCGAAGCTGGAGCCCACTGTCGACCGGCGGCAGCTGGGACCAGACGTGTTCAGCGAATGTCTAAAAACTGTGTTTACAAAATATATTAGGGAGAAAACTTAGAAAATTGTTATTCCCCAGCGCTGTAGTGAGCCTATAGAAAACAAAACGGAGGCGGGGCAAACTGGATCGCTGGAGACGCCCCCGACACCGCCCTGGCGCCCTGCGTGCAGGGGCAGACAGATTCCTGCGCACCCCCTCTTGGCGTCAGGCCACGCCTGCCACGCCCTGCGACCCCAGCGTGGATAGAGACTGCGTTCAGGGACCACTCCCTGCGCACCGCGCACCCTGTCTGGGTTGCGAACAAGCCACACCTGACACGCCCGAGCCTGGCGTGGAAAGAGACCGCACTTGGGGACCATCCCTTGCGCACGCCCTTTGGTGCCGAGAGGGCCACAAGTGCTTTAAGATGGCCTCCAAGATGGCGCAATATGGAATATGGTCCAAGTTGGCTCAAGATGGCCTGGGTCATCATATTTTAACCGGCTTTGGACATTACTGTTTCGGTATGCCCTTGATGGGTAGATTTCATGAGGCAGCTTCTGTCGCCCAGGATTGTGGGCCTGGGGGTTAGTGCTGTTTCCTGTCGTTGGCCCTGTCGTCGTCCTCACAATAGGGTTGATCTGGCCACTCGAATCCCACTCGACTCCCCCTCCCCCTCTTTCTCGGCCTCGCAACTCCCTTCCGCCCCCTCGTTCCCTTTGCTCCCCTCCTTACACTGGGCAATCCGGGCCGTCGACGGCGCTGACCCCTTCCGGGAGGTCGGAGAAGTGAGTGTATCCAGGAGGAGTGCATCGTGCAACTTGCGTCCATCACCAACGACACGTGTCGACCACTCACTCCCCAAAGCCGCGCGGGTCCGACCAATCCCTTGAAGGACGGCGAGTCCTCAAGGTCGTTGCGGTGGTCACTGAATTCGACTTTATCCACCTTCACAGACGGATGGTTGCCATAAATCCTGGGCGGGCGGTGGCCGAGTCCCACAATCACACTCTCTCTCCCCTCTTGCTGTCACGTCTTCCCCCTCTCTCAGAGTGTCATACACATCATGACTAGCACTCCGTCCATCTTCCTCTCTATCTCTCTTTTTTCTTCGGTGTCTCACCATGTAGGAGAATGCCTACATACATACACAGTGGCATGTCTCTCTCTCTCTCTCTCTCGTTCTCCATGGTGTTTCGCTTTGAATTGCTTCGCTCTCTCACCCTCTCTCATTCTCACAATGTGCCTCCTCAAATGCTCTCCTACCCTGTCTTTGAGCACCCTGGAACCTCTGAAACCCAGCTGGAGCCCATCAAACGTTCCTCCTCCCTCCTCCTCCCCCTCTGCTTGTCCCTGCTCTTCCTCCTCCTCCTCCTCCCCCTCCATTCCCCGCCCTCACGGCCCCCCGTGGTAACGCCACGATTCGAAGCAGATCCTTACAGAGACCTGCAAATTTTGGAAACGCGTGCATCTGTCAGCACCACCGTGGCCTGCCAGCACCAACACGTGTCTGGCAAGGGACAAGGGGGTGTATTTTGGCGGTGTTCTGAAACACGCCGTGGTGCCCGCAGCCAACTGCAGGATGCTTTGGATCTGATACGACCTGCCATGGGTCGTCATGGACAGCTAGGCACAACAAAAAGGAGACTTGCTGCTAATCCGCCGTCCCCGTCGGCGTGTGGGAGACACTGTTCCGTTTGACTCGTCGTCGTCGTCGACGTCACCGCCATCGTCGTCGTCGTCCTCACCGCCGTCGCCGCCGCCGTTGCCGTCGCCGCTCCCCCCCGGTTCCCCAGGCCCTCCTCTTCAACCGCCATCCGCCAGGAAACTGAGCCCTCTCCCTCTTCTGATCCCTTCCCCGCTGCGGGGAAGATGCTGGGGGGGGAGTCGGGGTTGGGGGAGGAGATCCCCGCGACAGTATACCGACCGCCCGGGGGTCGCCCGGCGGGGGCCCTGGGGAAGGAGCCCAGGGAGGATGGGCCCCAAGTAGGAATCGTGGCCCCGCCCCCGCTCCGAAGAACGCGGTCAACAAATACCAGAGGGGCTCGCGGGGAAATGTGCCATGGGGCGGTCGCCAGGGGGGTGCCCTGAGGGGGGGGGTCCCGGGGAAACGTCCCACATACAGGGTCGGCGGCACCGGCGGTCAGGCCTTCCCAACAGAATACGGTGTGCCTCCGTCCACCCTCCTCCTCGTCTCGCTCCTCCGTCATCCCTCCTCATCCCTCTTCTTTCCCCCTGTCGTTGTCGTCGTCGTCGTCGTCGTCGTCGTCGTCGTCGTCGTCGTCGTCGTCGTTGTCGTCATCGTCGTCGTCGTCTAGTTGTCGATGAGTCGTCGTCGTCGTCGTCGTCGTCGTCGTCGTCGTCGTCGTCGTCGTCGTCGTCGCGGGGAGGGGGGGAGGAGGAGGAGGGAGGAGGAGGAGGAAGAGGAGGAGAAGGAGGAGGAGGAGGAGAAGAAGGCGGAGGAGGAGGAGGAAGAGGGGGAGGAGGAGGAGGAGGAGGAGGAGGAGGAGGAGGAGGAGGAGGAGGAAAACGGGGAAGGAGGAGGAGGGGGAGGAGGAGGAGGGGGAGCGGCTGCTGGCCTCCCTGGGGACAGACGACAAGGTGGACTTCCGCTCGTCAGGCGGCCCCGGCGCAGGAGGGTACTTGGATCCGCCCGTCGTCCGCGAGGGAGAGACGCCCGCTGGAATGCCAGACGAACACTTCCGCATCGCACTCAAGGACAAGCTGCACCTGCCCGTGTGCCCGCCGGGCGCGACCTGCAAGCTCCGCAAAGCCGACGGAACGCTGTGCGGGGAGGCACTCGACCGACGCGGCCGCCACGCCCTGAAGTGCCCGTGCGGCCCCTACCGCAACAACAAACACAACGGCCTCCGGGGCTTCTGCGCCAGCTACCACCAGCGGACCACGGGACACGCAGCGCAGACGGAGCAACAAGTTGTTGCTTGGGACAGGGTGAACCCGCGGACAGGGCGCCTCGAAGAGGCGCGGCTCGACGTCGCCACCCGCGACGCGGTGACCGGCCAGACAGTGTTCTTGGACACGAGCGTGACCTGAGCGCACAGCGGCACCGCGCCGCACCAGCAGGCTCGCTCGAACAAGGACGGCCTCGCCGCCACCAACGCGGAGGACGCCAAAAGGGAGCGCTATCCGCCCGAGGGGGGCCAAATCATCCCGGTCATCTTCGAAACAGGAGGCCGCCCGGGAGACGCCACCGTGGCGTATGTCCGCTCACGACATGGCCCCTGCGGAGCGGACAGAGGTCATCCGCTATGGATGGCAGCAGGCTGCGTCTCGGCAACGCCGAGACTATCTTGGCGGCCGTCGGGCGCTGAGGCTCTACCAGAAGCGCCCCGACTCTCTTGAGCCGGCGCTAGCGGGAAGGCGCTAGCAGGGCCACTGCCCGCGGCAATACCAGCGCCGACAACGGCGCAGGGACCACGACACCGACGACGGCGACGGCTGCGCGGCAAACCAAAGGGGGGTCTAGCGCCGACCCAGGAGGGGTCCGCGCGGACTCCCGTTTGGCAGGTGGACTGTTCGGGACTACCTCCCCCCCTGCTGCTGCTGCTGGCCCGCCTCTGTCCCTTCTCTCCTTCGGTGTGGAGGAGAAGGAGGAGGAAAAGGAGGAGAAGGAGGAGGGGGAGGAGGAGGAGGCGGAGAAGGAGGCGGAGGAGGAGGGAGAGGAGGAGGAGGAGAAGGAAGACGGGGAAGAGGGAGGAGGGGGAGGAGGAGGAGGAGGAGGAGGAGGAGGAGGAGGGAGGAGGAGGAGGAGGAGGGGGAAGAGAAGGAAGAGAGGAGGAGGAGGAGAGGAGAGAGGAGGAGGAGGAGGAGCGGCAGGAGGAGGAGGAGGAGGAGGAAGACGGGGAAGGACGAAAGGGAGGAGGAGGAGAAGGAGGAGGAGGCGGAGGAGGAGGCGGAGAAGGAAATCTCGAGCCCAGAAGCCCAGGGGTGCTTGGGGGGGAGCCAGCACAATAACGCCATACGTGGGCTGAGACTCGACCTCGCCTTCCCTGGGGGGCTGCGGTTTGCGAAACGGTCGCCACCTTCGAGGGCTGCTGCGGGAGCCGACACACTGACGCCACACGCACATACATATTAGACCTCGCCATCCCTGGGGGGGCGGAGATCGGCGAAACTGTCGCCAATTTCGAGGGCTGCCGGGGGGGGCGCAGCAGAGTGACGCCATACGCGCATCCAGATTGGATCTCGCCATCCCTGGTGGCCTGCGATCGGCGAGGCGGTCGCCACTTTCGAAAGCTGCTTGGATGGCAGCACAATGACGCCATACGAAGTCTCAGATTCGACCTCGCCGTCCCTGTGGGCTGCGGTCCGCAAAACTGTTCTTCCCACTTTCGAGGGCTGCTGGGAGGGGCCAGCACAATGACGTTATACGCGGATTCAGATTTGACCCATCTCTGGCGGGGCTGCGATCGGCGAAAATATCGCCACTTTCGAGGGCCTGCTGGGGAAGCCAGCGCAGCCAGGGCCCTACCCAGACTCAGATCGAGCGGTGTTGGGGGGGCAGCACAGAGGGTACCTCCCGCGGACCTAGATTAGTCCTCGCCGTTCCTGAGGGCTGCGACCTGAGAAAATGCTGCCACTTTCGAGTGCTGCTAAGGGAGGGCTCCTTCTTTTCGAACCAGGAAAATTGATAACTAACCACCTCCATCAAACCCATGCCCATCGATCGGTGCCCTGCGAGTCGCGCAGCTTTGCGATACTCCCAAATAGCGCTCGCAACAAATATAAGTCCTTGCCACGTTATCACCCCCTTGCAAATTCTTCCCAACTCTTGTGGCCACACGTTGCGAAAGGCTTGGGTCCATCGTCAGGGTACTTACTGTCTGCGCGAGAGGGGGGACCGAACAACAACCATGTACTGCCCCCGAATCGCGTTGCCTTGCTTTATGATTTGTTAGGGGCGGGGTAAATACGTGGGATTCGCGCCCCTGAAACAATATTTGTTCGTTCCGCCAGATCCCCATTTCCGGGGCCATAGAAACCGTTGTAAATTGAGCCAAGTTCTGGTTGTGCCAAGATCCATTGACAATTACCTCAGATTCGAGATTTTGGGGTGAGAATGGAAAGTGTGCCGGACTCGCGCTCCCGAGGCCAGAAACTCATCTAAATGACTTCAGATTCGCGCTCCCTCAACCCAAGTTAGGTCGGGCATGTCCCCCTACAGGAGGAGTGTGACTGAGAAATCAAGCATTCAAAAATTCACAAAACAAAAATAACAGCCATATGCTCAAACAGTCGTCCGCAGATTGTTTACTATTTTTAATGTTTCCCCTGTAAAGGAACACGCCCGACTCAAAACCACCGCTTCTTGTAAATTGCAGCACCAGGTTCGCGCTCCCAGGGCCAGAGCCACTCGCACATGTTTCGCCAAACTCGCGCTCCCGAGGCCATGAATTCTTAAGATAAACTGCGCCAGGTCCGTGCTCCCGAACTCCGAGCCCCAAAGAAATCGCGCCCCCGAGATTACAGCAGACTCTCACTCCTGAAGACTCGATTTTGGCAAACATTGCACCATATCCGCGCGCCCGATGCCAGAACCCTTGGGAACTTACACTGGGTCCGCCAGACTCGCGCCCCCGAGGCGACGATCCCTCGCAAAATTACTCTAGACTCGCGCCCCTATAACCACAATCTGTATAAGTTGCGCCAGATGCGCGCCCCCACGGCGACGATCCCGAGCACATGAAGTTAGATTCGCGCTGCCGAGGCCACGACGCCTTGCAAAAGGCATCACAATTGCCAGCCGTCCTCGCATGATCTTCCGATATTGCTTCCAGTCGGCGCCCAGGCATCCTCACGCAGCCCTGGCATGTCCCACTCTGATAGAGATGTGGTCGGTGACAGTGGGCGAAGCGCTTCTAGATAACCAGTGAGACGATTCCATACTCATGCACTTTTATGAGGGGACCCTGGGACACACACATAAATACACACAAATCAAATAATTGCCAATAGTTCCTCATACTTTTGGGTTTTCGTCTTGCCTCCAACTTCCCATATTTTCCCATATTTTCTGGGGAATCGACGATTCATTGTGTCTGCGTGATTTTTTCCCTCCTGATTTTACGCCGCCGCATGGATGTCTTGGGGATCGGCGTTGGCGCGCGCAGCGCGCGGGGGCGGCGCGCGGGGGCGCCGCCAAGATGGCCCAGCGCCGGTCCAAGCAATCCGCGCAGACCTCCGACATGCCAGATTTTTTCATGAAAAACGAGAATCGAGAAAAAACGAGAATCGAGACAACTCCTCTTCCTCCTCCTCCTCCTCCTCCTCCTCCTCCTCCTCCTCCTCCTACTACTACTACTACTACTACTACTGCTACTACTACTACTACTACTACTACTACCCCTCCCCTCTGACGCGAGCGAGCGGTCATCTCGATTGGGCATAGTGGCTCCTCGGGACCAAGCCTACGCATCGTCCTCGACCGCGTCGTCGTTCTCGTCGTCATCCTCGTCGTCGCTATCACCCTCGCCGTCGCAATCGCCGTCTTCGCCGTTGCCGTGCTGTCGTCCTCGTCCTCGTCTCGTCGTCCGGCCTGCCACCCTCCTCCTGGGGGAGTCCTCTCCGGCGGCGCCGTCTTGGGGCTCAGCTGGACGTGGATGTCCACGAGGTGGCTCAGCTGGTCCTGTATTGCCTCGGGTGGAGGTGATGAAGAATGGCTGAAAGAGAAGCTGTGGGGAGGAGCGGGAAGAGAAGGAACGGGATGCCGAGCGGGAGCAGGAAAAGGGGGGGGAGACGGAGAGGGAGCAGGAGGGGGAGAGGGACGGGGGAGGGAGAGGGAGGAGCAGGGATGGAGGGAGGAAGGATGAAAGGAAGCGGAGGAGGGAGGGAGGGAGCAGGGAGGCAGGAGAGAGGAGGATCACGCTGAAGAGCAGGAGGATCAGGCGTGCGTGCTCGGCGGTTCTCAAGGCCAAATCAGAAGTTATAACGGGGGAAAAGAAAAAAGATGAGGACGATGAGTAGGGGGAAGGAAACAGATTAAGATGAGGGGCAATAGAGGGCAGAAAATTCACACCCACGATGATCACGCCGGCACGCGAAGCCGCTTATCAAACGCACCCACAAAAGGAATCGAACAGGGCAATGCTGTTTAATAAACGCCCAAGGGTGTGATAGAAGACGAAAAACACATAGACATAAACTGTTGGCGCTCCGCGCGGATTTCTTGGATCTGCACCGGGCCCCCTCCCTGGCGCGCGAAAGGCGGCAGACGGCGCCGGAGGCGCCGCTGGGGAGACCCAGGCGAGGATCCAAGAAATCCGCGCGGAGCGTCAAACCCAAGGCCGCCTAATAAACGCCAATAGTCGGGTCCGGGGGGGTGTTCCCTCCCTGGTAGCACGGGGCAAGGAGGCGGTGGGAGGGAGTGGAGGCCAGATGAAACAGGAGGGCCTGGACGGAGCAGAAGAGGTCGACACATGAACTATGATGCCTTGCTGCTCCCTTTCCCCCGTCACCTGTGTCTCTTCTTCCTTCATTCTCTCCCCCCTCTCCCCTCCCCTCGTCGTTATCCCTGCTCCCGTCCCTCTCCCATTGAATATTTGTTTATATATATATATATATATATATATATGCTTACCCCTGTCCTTTCTCATCCCCCCGTACCCCGTCTTCTCTCTCTTCCTCCCCCTCTCTCTCCCGTCCCGCCCTGCGCTTGAACACTGTTGTTGTGAGTGTGGGCGTCGCTTCTTGCGGAGCAGCCGTTCTGAATCCCTGGCGCATTGGAACTCAGCACGCGTTTCGCCCAAGTTCCAGCTCTCCTCCTCGAGCGTCCAGAAAAAAACAGAAGTGGTGCCAAAGTGTCACGTTTGTGCAGCGGCTCCCGTGGCAGGACCCGCTCCCCTCCCCAGCGCTCCCCCTCTGCCGACGACGCCGACAACAAAGCCGACTGCGACGACGAGCGCGACCACCACGACTGCGTCGACCCCAGCCACGACCACGAAGACCGTTGATTATTCCGAATGTTCGGGGTTCTGGCTTGGGTGTCACAAACAGGGAACCGAGCTCTATACACCGACGCTTCTTCCAGCCCTGTACGGATATTTGCACAGGAAAGCGGCGGACCTGGTGTAGACGGGACCCTTGATCTCTCTCTCTCTCTCTCTCTCTCTCTCTCTCTCTATATATATATATATATACAAGTGGCACGTGCGTGCCCAGGCTCATACAACAAATGCATGTTGATACCGACGCAGGGTGCGAAGAGAAGTGGGAGCTCCACCATTTGATGCGTTAAGACCACAGACTCAGCGTTGGTTCCAGGCATGGCGGGACCACCGTGATGCTTGACGGAGGGTCGCGCTCGCCTTACGTCCGGGGATTTTGGCCTGACCTGGCTGGCGTCATTGTCAGGAGTGTGTGGGCTGACGTGTATACCACGGGTGGATGCTCGCGGTGCGGCCGGGGATTTTGGCCTAACGTGCGTGTTGCTCTGCGCTTGGATTGGGATTCTTGTCTGGCGTGTGTGCGGCGCGTGGGAGTGTTGACTTGACGGATGCGTGTGGTTGTTGTTGCCGTGTGGCCGGGGATTTGGGCCTAACGCGCGTGTTGCTCTCCGATTGGATTTGGATTTGTGTGCGGCGGGTGGGAGTGTTGACTTGACGGATGCGTGAGGTTGTTGTTGCCGTGTGGCCGGGGATTTTGGCCTAACGTGCGTGTTGCTCTGCGCTTGGATGGGGATTCTGGTCTGTCGTGAGTGCGGCGAGTGGGAGTGTTGAGTTGCGGCCGGGGATTTCTGCCCAACGCGCGTGTTGCTCTCCACTGGGATGGGGATTCTGGTCTGGCGTGTGTGCGGCGGGGGGGGGTGTTATCCTGACGGATGCGTGTGGTTGTTGTGGCCGTGTGTCGGCTCTCCCTCACGATCTACGTGAGGGTGGCCACTGGTTTTCAGAATTTCGAGGATGTCCCTAGCGAAACGGCCAGATTGCTCAAAGATGGTTCGACAAAGGCCCGATTTGGGGAGGGTGTCTCAGGCGAAACGGCAATTCTCGCATAGAGGAGGTCAAAATCATTGGAAATACACTGTGTTTTTGAAGGTTTGATGTAGAAATGGTTGAATTCCTATGTGTTTTTGGACCTCTCCTTCACGATCTGCGTGAGGGGTGCCACCGATTTTCAGAATTTCGAGGATGTCCCTAGCGAAACGGCCATTAAAATCAAAGACGGACGCACGCACGGACGCATTAATCCACTCTGAGCTCTACTCCCTCGGAAAGGTGCGTACGAGAATATATATATATATATATATATATATATATATCGTTGTTTCCCGGGGAGAGCGGGGAAAATGTACACCACACCAACCCGACGTCGTCCCCGACCCTCCAAAAGTCCTGGGATTGAGAAACAGCCCCCCACTGGTCATGAATATGTTCCAATTCCCGAACATCCGATTCCGGGATCTATTTCGAAGTGCGCTCTGGCCAAAACCTTCGAGGAAGATCAGGCCATGGCAGCGGGAAGCCTCCTGGAGACCCAGCAGCGCCGAAAAGCCCCCCCCCACAACGACGATCACGACGACGACCCACCGACCGACGACGCCGATGCCGACGACGACGACGAGGACGACGAGGACGACGACGAGGACGACGAGGACGACGACGACGACGCGACACCGACGCCGACGACGCCGGCCATGACCGCGACGGCCACGCGGCCGTCGGCGAGGAGCCTGCTCCGCAGCCTGGGTGAAGCGGGCGAGGTCGAACGGCAGCCTCCGAAAGGGGGGGGCCACAGCGCCGCGCGCAGCGAGCGGCGCGCCCCGAGCGGAGGCGGAGCGATGCTCCGCCCGCGCCGCCGGAGGATGGAGGGGGAGGGAGGGAGGGGGTGGGGGAGGGAGGGGAGGCAGGGGTGGGAGGGGATGGAGGGGGAGGGGGGGCCAAAAGGGCAGGGGCGACGGAGGAGGTGAGGGGTGGAGGGAGGAAGGACCGCTGCTGCTGCTGCTGCTGGTGATGATGCCGTTGCTGCTGCTGATGATGATGATGCTGATGATGCTGATTATGATGATGACGATGAAGATGATGACGCTGCTGCTGATGATGATGACGATGACGATGATGATGCTGCTGCCAATGATGATGATGCTGATGCTGCTGCTGCTGCTGCTGATGATGCTTATGATGCTGCTGGGATGATGGTGATGTGGATGAAAATGTTTCTGATGATGCTGATGATGATGATGATCATGATGATGCTGATGATGATGATGATGATCATGATGATGGTGATGATGACGATGGTGATGGTGATGGTCATGGTGATGGTGATTGTGATGATGATGATGATGATGATGATGATGATGATGATGATGATGATGATGGTGATGAAGGTCAATTCGCCATTCGGAGGACAATACCGGGATGATGAAAGAGCACGGACAACCCGCTGGTTCTTGGAAGCTGCTGGACAGCAGACTTGCCCAGAGATCCGATGCCTTGTTTTTGTTGATACAGGGTCTCATCGAAACCCGCCCCGCTCCCCAGGGCCAATTTTGAACCCTCAATCGTTGTTTGACGATCCCGGGGCCCAACGAGGGCTCCTAATGGCCGACAACAAAGACACATATCCGTGCTGTTTTTGTTCAACACGTCGGAAGTCTGGGGAGCAAAGGACATTGGCTACGTGTTGCCCTCCGAGCGCTTGCGGCGCCCAATGTGCGATCCGGCGCGGTGCACTCCTCTGAATCTGCGCTGGAGGTGCGACGCCTGCACCGAGGAGCGCGCGAGAACCCCGCCTCGGCCGCAGCCCTTGCCGGGGCGCTCGGCTCGGTGATTTGACCGATGGCGATAGGATGCTCGATGTAAGTCGGGCTTGTCCCTCTACAGGAGGAAAATCCAAAGATAGTCAAACAATAGTCAGGAGCTTTTTTGGGGGGGGCATTTTTTGACCATTTTGGCAAATTTTGGGGATATTCTGTGATTTTTGTCGAAAATCCCCCTGTAGGGGGGCACGCCCGCCTGAATGCTCGATCGCAATGAGTTAGGGCGACGATCGCCGAAACGCAGGGCGTGATCGGGCGAAGAGAACTATGCACATGCACCGATCCTGGCAAGGCCCATCCTTGACCCAGGATCGGTGCATATGCCTTCCTGGCCAAGGTAGGAGGGCGTATGCACCGATCCTGGGCTCAGGATGAACCTGGCCAGAATCGGTGTATGTGCATAGTTCGGGGATGGACAGACCCCCCTTTAGTCAAACGTGGTTTAGTGAAAACGACCTGAGGCCCAAACCTGGCGGGCGCAAGCCTGGAAAATAACGGCCACGGCGCCATCTCGAGAACCGAAAACGGACAATTCACTAATCGACGTGTCACTGTTGGGGGTTCTGTCCACCCCCGCATAGTTCTTTTTCCTCTACGTGACCCGAGGCAGGAGCTGCCGGCGGCGCGCAGCGTTGGGGGCCGCGGGGCAGCCCAAGCCAAGCGCGCAGGCCGACGCAGGGACCCCTGCTGGCCCACACTATCGTTGAGTCGGGCGTGTCCCCCTGCAGGGGGATTTTCGACGAAAAATTAAAATACCCCAAAAAAGGTCAAACAATACCCAAAAAATAATCAAAATACCCAAAAATAGTCAAACAATACCCCAAAATACACGAAAAATGATCAACAATACTGCAAAATGGTCAAACAATACCCCAAACATAGTCCCCAGACTATTTTTTTTTATAACTATTTTTGACTATTCCTCCTGTAGAGGGACCGGCCCGACTTGACACCATAGGTCACCCCGGCGTTGAGACGAGATCTATACACGCGAGCTTGTTCTTATTCGGCGTTTCGACACTGGGCGGAAGGGGGGGGGGGGGGTAGGGCGGGGTCGGGCCCCGGACCTCTGCATCGTGCGACTGTTTGCAGCAGTGCGCCCTGTGGGGAGCTCCACCTGCTCGAAGCAGGCGCCGGGAACAGCCAAGATCTGCTCCATGGGGGGGGGGAACGAGGCGTGCGAGTGCCCGCGCCGATCGGCAAAACAACGAATAAGAGAACGATAACTTGAATGATGCTGCTTACTTACTCGGGTGTTCGAGACCGCTGAGTGCTTGTGGCCTCTGCCTTGCAGCTCAGGCGATCAGGAGATCCCCTCGGCTAACCATCCTGAGGGAGAGATCGCGGGGGCTGTCGCCATCCGTCCCCATACTTTGCCAGGTGGGTGGGCAGAGTGTCAAATCTACGGCGAATGAATTGCAATGCGCGGTGCTCGGGCCAGTGCACTATCCGCTTGCCCAGTCGGCACCCGCTGCCGAGCTTAGCGTTATCGCGATGACAGCCCTGCTGGTCGTTGGTGGGTACTAATGAAGGCTATTTAAACTGCGTGACGGTGGTCAAGCAGCATACTATTTTCCGGCCGAGCGACTTTCGTACACCTGGGCAACCCTGGAGTGTTTCAGTATGTGAATGCGTCTCGCTTTTTACTAGCGAAAATAGTCGAAGTGGCATCTCATTCTGACCCTTCGAAGCCAGGGTCCTCGGATGATGCACCTTTCCGTCGGCGTGGCAACTCCTATGCCGACGAGACTGCCCGTGCCGGCGCGCTTTCAACATCCCAGGCTGAGGGAGAACAATAGGGTGGGACCAGCTCAGGGGGGAAACATGAGCTGTAATCGGCGATACATCGCCGATCGATCGGTGATAGGCCCCCAATAGCAAATCTGGGGTGCGCTGTCCAACCCTTCAGAGCGATCAATGAGCGATTGGAGGTCGACCCCAACGTAACGGTACCAATGAGATCGGGTCGACCGCCAGATCGAAACGGCAAGGTCGAGCTGTCGGCCGGCGGCCAAACTTCTTCCGCGCCAGCACCGGCTCAGTCTTGAGCGCTGACCCCCAGAGGGCAAAACCACTCAACGTAGTGTAAAACGAACCCAAGATCTGGGCAAAATCGGACCCGGACACGCCCGATGTTGGCCAGGCCCCATGTGGGAGCGCAATTTGCGGCTGGAGCTGCAGCACGTGTCCCTACAGTTGCTGCTCTCCAGCCAGACCCCTTCTTGGGCGAAGGCAAAGGAACCCGTGGGCCAAATCCCACCTGCCCTCTGGGCGTCGGTGGTTTAAGGCGTTTCCTCCTCCACCCCTCCTTCTTCCCCTTCGGGGACGGGTTTACCCCTCCCCCGACCCCCTCCCCATGGACCTGGACAGGGGGTTCCGCGAGGTGTCGGAGCGTCCAAAACGGCCTCGGCGAGGAAACCAAAAACATTGCTAAGGTGTTGGCCCCATTTTGGCCTCCTGATGGGGGGGACTCTAATTAGACACCCCCCTCCTGTGATCGATCTCGCCCAAGATGGCCCAAAGTTGGCTTCCCAAGGCTCCCAACGGTGCCTCTTGGGGTTTCCTGGCCACGTTGGGGCCCTCGAAGCTCCCAAAAGGTCCCAGGAGGCCCCAAAAGACCCAAGGCCCCCCCCCCAAAAAACCCGAAATGGCCCCAGAGAGGTCCTCGCAGTGGTCCCCCAGATGCCTCCAGGAGGCTCCTACAGCGCGGCTGCATGTTGCTACACAGCCCTTGTCAAGACAACTCGCTTGGTGATCGCTTTGGGATGGGCGAGTATCCCAAAAGACAACTAACCCTGAGACCCCAGGAAGTCCATCGATGTTTGATGTGGGAACGTCTCGCTTTCAATCGCAAAACCACCAAATCCCAATAATCCAGGGACGGCCTGGAGGTAAGCAGGGTGTTTCCTTGCATGGCTTTCCGCTGTTTTTTGTCGCAGCAGCAGGCGAAGGCGCCAGCGGCGTCTCGAGTCGGCTCGGGCTACGAGCGAAACTAATTTCCTGAGGCGCGCGCAGGCATCAGCAGAACCTGCCGCCGGGGAAGCTGCTGCGCCGAGGGCAGTGGCTGCAACCGCCGAGGGGAGCGAGGCAACGCCGTGGGCGGGGGCTGCAAGCTGCTGGGGCTTCCAGGAAGCTGTAGGCGTGTGGGTACCCCAAGGGGGTGACCACCAGGATGAGTGAATCTGACCTTGTCGCCTCCAGGCGCCAGAGGTCGGCGCGCCATAGACCTGGCGAAGCGCGGGGCTGCGTAAACAGTCCAGCGTACTGGCAGCAGACCGATAAGGGGAACACGCATGGTCGATCACGATGGCTGAACCATTCCTGAATGAACCACCGGTCCAGAATCCCATTGGGCCACCGGCAAGTTTTCCGCTATACTTTTTGTCGCAGCCGCAAACGACAGCGCAGGCGGCGTCAAACGGAACGGGCGGGCCGCGCGCGAACCTAATTGCCAAACGCGCCAACAAACAGGCCTAGGCGGCACCTCAGATCATCTGATGCGGGAGGTGGTGCGGGCTGCAGCTGTCGGGAACCAGGTCCAGGAGCGAGCACATGCAATTAGCCAGCCATAGTTGGGGCGCAGCAGGGATGGCGCGGGGGCGATACCAGAATAAGCCAGGAGCGCCATCACGAAGGACCGCAGATACCAGCAAGGCCCGGAGGAACTCACTGACCAGGAACCTGGTGCATGGAAGTGGCGCCACCAAAGCCGCACACAACGCTGACAAGTGGCCGCAGAGGGCGAGGACAAGACGTAGGATAAACCACACGAGACGCCCATGCCCAGCCCTTGAAGGGGGCAGCTCGCTTGCAATACATTCCAGCAGGTAATGCTGTCACCGATGGCCAGGAAGGCGACACTGACCAGGAGCCAGCACGAGTGGCGCCACCGAAGTCGCACACTCGCTCCTGAGGAGACCACGTGCACTCCCGAACAAGGTCGCCGACGTAAAC